TAATAGGGTGAGCGGCTATTTAGGTTAATTCTTCCCCAACTTTTTTCCTAATAGTTGAGTGATGCACCTGGAGGTCCCATTTATCTTTCCCATTTCTTATATTGTTTCAGTGTTGATTGATTATAGTAAGTAATATGTTATATTTAGTACTATTTATCACCCAAAAAATAATAATCCATAAATTTTAATATCTAAATGTGAATTTTTTACTTTAATTATCTCAAAAGTGTACTTCTTTTGTTGGTTCTTTCTTGGCAACTAAAATATTATTTTCTTTCATATTTATTTACGCAAAAAGATTTATAGTTTAATAAAAGCTAATGTAAGTTGTGAAATTATAGTTATTTTTGGTGATAATTTATTTTTGTTTAAAAAGGTCTTTCTTATTAAAAGAATCCCTATTAATTTATTGGCACCGATTCTTTTAAGTTATCTCTTACATTGCATATATATTGGATGTCAACATCATAATTTTTTGTTCATTCTTAAAATCTTACATGATCAAGCAATTAAAAAAATGAACATTATTTATTAGTCTATCTAGAAGACACACAGAGAGCATTTTAAATTTATAATAAAATATAATATTTATTAATAATGACGTCATAAGGAAGAATGAAGAAGAAAAATATACAATAAATCACACATTACTACAATATACGTATGCAGTAAGAAAACTGAAAGCACGAAATTATGCAATAAGAGGGGAAAAAAGGGAAAAAGGAGTATACGCAATTGCATTAGCAGCAAGAAGACTCTATAAATAAAACAATAAAAAGGATTAAAAAGATTCACAGAAGAGAAAGCATGCAGTAGGCAGAAAAAAAAAGGTAGAAGGAGCACCGAGGCTAGAATTAGGAGCAAGAAGTACGTTCTGGGAGACAAATCTGAGGAGGAAAATAGTTTAATATATATATATATATATATATATATATATATATATATATATATATATATATATATATATATATAAAGAAGAAAACAAGATTTGAAACATCATATGGTAATTATACTTTGTCATTACCATTAATTCTTTATCGCCTTTGATAATTGCAAAGTGTGGTTACTTCATTTTAATTATGCATAATTTCATGTGGACTAAGTAATTAAATGTACAGACAAATATGTTAAATTGTGTAATTACATTAAACTACACTCAAATTTAATTACATAAAAAAATTTCAAACAAGCTCGGAGAGTTTAAATATTTGAGCTTTAGTACTTAGTATTAGGGGTGTCAATGAATATTTAAAAACCGACTAAACAGACCGAACCGATTTTTAGGTTTCATTTAATAAAATCGTAGGTTTTTATATAAATTATAACTGTACCGATAATTAGGGTATATTTTTTATTTTATTAAAATAAACCGAGAAAATATCGAACCGTACCGAATAAATTTATATGTGAAAAATATATTTATATATTAAGTTTAAAAATAATAAAGCATTAAATTTTTTCTTTGGCCTTGGAATTATGAAAGAGGTTATAAGTCAACAAGTAACTAAACTCAAAATTCCAATTCCCAAACCTATTATGCTATAGTAGCAGGTATTGGAAGAAAATTTGCCATATAAGAGACAAGCTTGGGGGGGGGGGGGGTAGGGGGGGAGGGGGGGGGAGGGGTAGTAATCAGGGAGGATGGCAATCGCAAACAGGTAAATATACAATCATGAAAGGGTACTCATGGTTGGAATCTGGACAAATGTCATTGGGGAAGCTGGGTTTGGAATAAGCAAAATATTCCAAAGCATAGCTTCATCTGCTGGCTGATTATGCAAAGGAAGCTGCTCACAAAGGATAGGCTAGCTCACCGAGGGATCAGTTCAGATGGCCTATGTATTATGTGGAAACGCCCCAGAATCAATAGAACACTTGTTCTATGAGTGCCAATTTTCTAAATGGTGTATCAATGAAGTGATTGAGTGGCTAGATCAGGATCACAAACTATGAAGGACAACATCTATGGAAACTAGTAGGCAGGAAAATGGGAAATAAACTAAGAAGGGAGTTCTCCTTTGCTGTATGGCAGCATTGAACTACCACATATGGAAGGGGAGAAACGAAGCCTTATGGCAAAGTTGAGTGCCTAGACCAAGCAAGTTATGTAATCAAATCAAAAAAGATTGCAAAGTTCGTGTGATGGAGATAATCAACAAACAAAAGCGGCACAAGGAGAGAAGATGGATAGAAGAAGTATATAGCTAGATAAGGAATAGAAAAAAATACTACTTGTACAGAATAGGATATAAATAGACTTACTTCTGCCTAGCTGAGTAAGTACGAGAATTTATATATAGTAGGATACTAGAGGTGTTTTGTAATTCTCCATTGTACTGGTTCTGGTGATGAATAAAAAATTTCATTCCACCAAAAAAAATTAAAAAAAAAATATTATGCTATTTCTACTGACACTAAATTATTTTCAGCATATTCACTAGCAAGACACAAAGTACTATGGCGATTATGAGTAGCAAACTACAGTGTACTGAATACGCTTCCCTTCCTATGATTTAGATTTATCTTTTTGAACATTTAATCTTCTATGGATTTATTCTTGAGTCCCAACTTGGTTAATATCTTTCCACTCCTGTGATTTGTATTATTTTTTGTCTTTGCTTAGTTTCTTTTACGCTGTTGTAAAATAGTTGATGGATCTATACTCTAGATATCTTTCATGTTTTCATAATTCATTACCATTTAAACAGTAAAAATATCTAAACAGTTTTGCTAAGTCCTATAAAAGTATATATGTAATTGCATTCTACTTTTACTAAAGACTTTTACATGATATTTAAAAGAATATCGAAAATTAATCGAACTGTACTGATATCAAAGAGAAACCGACGTAATTGAGACGATTTCAAAAAATCTAATTTTGATTATGCATTATTGAATAACCGAAAAATGGGTCGAAACGAACCATTTACACCCCTACTTAGTATATTCCTGGAGGAAAATTATTGTGTGGAAACGTGACTAAATCTTGAAGATGTATCAATTAAAAATATTTGGTCCGTTTGAAAACCAGAAACTACAATGTTCAAGGTTTATGAGGGTAATGATAATGTCTCTCGCGAAGGCTGCAGAGTGGATTATTTTTTCAGCACAATGTCCCTTTTTCTTCAGACTGAGATGCGTAGTAGTTTTGCCAGGAATGTTGTTAACATCACGAATTCCTAAGGACTCCAGAATTAACTAGAGTAGGATAAATAAATAAATAAATAAATAAAAAGGATACAAACCCTAGTCTCTAATTTGAAAATTTTACCAAGGGCGGTGAGATAATATTCATTGGTGTTCTCAATATTTACTACAAGGTTGAGACATATATGCACTCCTTGTTCAGGGGAGGAGCTAGAGAGAGTTTCATCCGAATCCCTTTCATCAGAAAATTATATTATATATATAATGTTCAAAATATTTTATTCCGCTTGACCTTTTCATATATTAACTCTTTATTTTAAATCTCCTTAATAAAACTCCCAGTTCTGCCACTGCTTTTTTGGTAGACTAGCTAGCTAGTTTATTGATTAAGTCATTAAGGAGGCTGAAAATTGTTCTCCTTTATGTTTTTTTTATTATATCAAGGTAAACTAAAGGATACAGTTAATATAGGAGCTTATATAGCGTAAATTTTGCTCATTTCTGTGTTTAGGTTGAGTTTTCCGTCTTTGTACTTTCACTAGCCGAGGAGATGAAAACATTAGACTTATTCAATTTAAAAAGCCAAATAAATAAGTCATCATGTTATTGTTTGATTTCTTGAGAATAAAAGTGGGAAATTTTTTTTTGCGAAAATAGACAAATTCACAAGTCATTATCATTTTTGCAGAATATAACATGGATTGCTAGTTCACAAAACTAATCAGCATGGAAATATTTTTCTAATGGGTTACAATCATAAATGGAGACTGTTAATTTTGAGGGGCATAACTGAGCCATTGAGCTAATAGTGAGGGTATTTTGAGACCAAAACCAAATGGAGATTGGAGGATATAATTATGTTATTTTCAATAGTTCAAGGCAATTTTGGCCCTTTTCTCTATATCATATATAGGCAATTAATTAGTATAGAGTGTACTTTTAACAACAAAGGTCACATTTGATTCGAAATAATCAAAGTACTTTCCAATGTTGTATGATAAATAAACATTCTTTCTGAAAGAAGAAGATGACATCTTAAAATCTAGTGTTTTTCCTATAATAATAATAGCCTTTCTTTTTGGAAAAGCATTATAAGATGTTAAATCATGTTATTAGGTACACTTTTCATTTATTAAATCAACATAAGGGTTCAATAATACTTTAAAATTAGAAAGGAACAGACTCTAGATTAGACTATATATAGCTGTAAACCAATTCCCTAACTTTACCCATGATTACCTCTAATTGTTGGGGAATAACTTCACATATGTGTCCTACCACCAACTTACACCTTAGACTTTACAATTAAATGTAGTTTCTGGAATTTAGCAAATCAAACAGGAATATGGAAGCCAGCCTTTGATTTGAAAATCAGAAATTTCACAGCTAAACATTGACCGGCATTCTTTGACCTCTAAGGGCTCGTTTGGTACGAAAGATATGGGATAATTAATCCCGAAATTAAATTTGAGATGAGTTTATCTCATGTTTGGTTGAGATAAAATTACGGTATAACTAATCCGGGATTATAGTATTTTTTTATCCCTATGGGAGGGAGGGATAACTAATCCCGAGATAACTTGTTTCCAACCAAACAACCCCTAAGTTACTAAAAAGCTTATAACACTTGAAGCTTAAGAGTGTATTTGGACTTTTTTCTACAGTAGATGTGAGTTCAATACAACTTCTATTGTAGCTCTTCACTTTCCCTTCCTGCTCCTCCAATGTAAAAGAAATTTTTTTAAAAGTATTAGGCATGGGATAACAGTGTCTTTTTTCACTTAAATAAAAAGTAGGATATATATAATATAAGAAGAGGATAAAGTAAGCAGAGAACCAAGTCTGTGTTACCTGCTGTGGTGACTTTAAGTCTTGAAGTTTGCTAATGCCTCCCAGCTCACATACATATAAATACTCATAAGATAGCAAATCATATATAGCTTTTCTATCTCTTTCAATGGCGCTAATCAAGCTAACTCTAACATGAAAAATGAAACCCCCAACTCATATATAGAATCCCTCCTTGTACTCATCATTACACTTCACTTATGGCTAACTTTTTCAGTAACTTCATCTTCTTCTACACCTCAAAACCTACCATAAAAGTATCCTTAACCTTAAGCAAATTCCTCCCATTCTTGAATTAATTCCAACATTTACAAGTCATATTGTGGTAGGATGAAAAATATGATTCCTGCTTGTTTTAGTCTTCCTCATTCTGGTCTTTCATTAAACACTACTACTACTACTACTACTTCACAAGTGCCTCAAAACCTTGTTACATGTATTTACCAAGCTCAGATTTGTGACTCACCAGTTTATCTTACACTCACTTGGTCCAAGAACATGTTTTCTCATTCTTTATTACTCCATGCACCTGATCTTTTCTCTATCACCATTCCTCTTCACCAATCTTCTTTTGCATTATTCAAAGCCCGGCCAGGATCCAAATCCATCCACCCGATCCAACGTGATCATAGAAAAATGAAGATCTATTGGGACTTCACACATGCCAAGTTTAATCAAAACTCAGCTGATCCTGAAGGGTATTTTTACATTGCAATCACCTGCAATGCAAGATTGGAGTTTTTTCTTGGTGATATGCTGACAGAGTTAACGGGCCGGGCCAGGTTGGTCTCGGGTTGTTGCTCGGGTGATCTGACTTTGTTGTCGAGGCGAGAGCATGTGTTTGGACGTAGGAGTTATACTACTCGGGCTCGGATTATGGGGGTCAAACATGAATTTGTGATAGAATGTGGAGGTGGAGTGTTAAAAGTGAAAGTGGATGGGAAAACAAGTCTTGTAGTGAAAAGACTTGGGTGGAAATTTAGGGGCAATGAAAGAATTTTAGTTGGTCAAGTGGAGGTACACTTTTTTTGGGATGTCTTCAATTGGGTAAATAAAAATAAATGTGATAATCATAATAATAAATTTGGGCATGGACATGGTGTTTTTGTGTTCCAAGTAGGTGATGGTGGTGTTTGGCCTGAAATGGGTGGCGCCGAGAAGAAACTGATGAGGAAAAGTTTGTCGGCAACGATCGGGCCGATGTCGGCACCACCGTCGGTTTCTTTGTTGCCGTCACCGTCGCCATCGTGCTCTAGTGTGTTGCAGTGGGCAGAGGAGAGCAGTGAATGTGGGAGGAGTTCATGGTCATCTATAAGATCAAGTGGGAGTAGTACTGGAGGATTTTCTTTGTTATTGTATGCATGGAGGAAGGATTGAGATTAACTGATTTTTTTCGTTTCGTATTAAATTGTAATAACAGAGAAACCTGTAATTTTGTTCCTGATAATGTGAAATATCACCTAGCTAGTAGCCCATGGAAAAATCAGCTTGGTTTTGCATGTCTACTTTCTAACACTGCCATTAGCTGATTTTCCTCTTCTTCTGCTAGGATTTCATAAACTTTTGCTCTTTCAATTGAATTGGTTCTTACCAAGTCACTAGGATTGAACTATCATTGACAAATTCAAGATAATAACTGTAGAAGAGAAGCTATGTTGGAGAAGAAATGAGGCTAGATTCATTGAGAGTGAACGTGGAGCACGACACAAGTCATGTATTTACACATTACATGTGAAGGTGGTGGCTGGACTTTAGGAGCAATCGAAGCTTATCTACAGGATCAAATTCACACAGAGAAAGCACAATAGGAAGAGTTTATCACAGCAATGAAGGGTTTGTTAAAACCATCTAGATCTCTATTTGGAGGTCTAAAGAGGAATCTAACAAGAAAGCGAAGCAAACCAAAAATGGAGAAGATGATGGCACAAATTATGATGATTCGCACTACACTTCGGTTTAGGCTAGGTAGACTAAAACAAGACCATTTTCTTTAGAAGATGATGTCTGTTAGCTTCAATCAATGATTGGACTAAAACTGCATTTAATAATTGATGGTAAATATGCACTGACAAAACATACGAGGACCAAAACCGAAATACATCAATCTCTTTTTTTCTTTGCTTTATTACTAACCATATAAAGATTGTGCATAACCATGGTTAAATTATATGTTATCTTCAAACATTAAAAAATTAATCGAAAGACGGCAACATGCAATTATATGGCCTACCAGCACCACTTGTAAGCCCAGTCTCCTTGAGAATTTTCTTATGTCAGTATTGCAGACAAGAATGATTTACAAGACAAATTGACGTAAATAAATGATAAACTAAAATGAGTAAATAAACGATAAGTGGATGTAAAGAAAAATCACTTTACCTATTTATTACCTATATACCCATCTTTTCAATTCAGCTCTGACTAAAATGTAATGTGGTTAAGAGATCAGAGTATACTTGCTGGGTTGAAGCTCAAATAGAAAACTCCAATTCTTCACCGAGTTACTTAGAGATATTGCTCGACTAAGAAACCTTCCTCCGTAGAGTTTTCACTCACCAGAGCTCCTCAAACCAGGCATAAAAATCTGGCCAACAGCTTCAAGAGCAGAAATGTTCCAGCTCTCAACATGCTTAACAATCTGTTAGCGATAGGAGAAATCAATATGAGGGAAGAAAATTGCCCAGTGACAAATTACACCTTATGCTCCAGCTTTTAAATTGTAGAGATCAACTCTTTCTACTTACTTTGAGTTGTTCATCTAGATCATAGACTGTATTTCCATCAACAGAGATGAGAGGCCTCCATGGAAGTTTGAGGGATGTTCTACAAAATCAGATGAAGAATCAGCATGCGTACGATCATAAGAATCTATAGAAGTATTCTTTTACATCCGAAATATTTCATTTTCTCATTGGAACTTGAAAATTAAAGATTAGCTAAGTTGGATGAGTTTTTGGTCACATATCGTCAAAGAGAAAATTTCAGGTTTCCAAATTCTCCGAGTGTCAAGGCAACTTTGGAACTTCCACCTAGATATCTGGAAGAAGAATCCAATGGTTATCGTACATGGAAAAAACTGTATGTGAGCATAACCCTAATACTAAAATACTAGATGCAAATTGTAAGATTACAGCAATGGATTTCTGTTGGTGAATGAAGAGTGCAGCAACTTTTGTGAAATCATTCAATGTGGTTTAGAGGTTTTTCCAAAATTCAGTTCAATAATGACTAACCTTTTCAAAACAGGTTTAGTTAAAAAAACAATCTGATAATACTAGACTCAAATAGTGAATTTCTTAGCTAAGTATATTGGATACTCAGTAATCTAACAAATTTAATTACTTATCAAGATCAATCATGCACAATCGACAGAAACAAACATCAAACGCTTTGAGCTGGAGAGCAGTGAATAATACCGTCCAAACAAAAATTCAGCCTTTACGCTAACAAAAATATGAGAATAAAACCAAGCACCTCAGTTTCCAATATGCCACTATGACCTCTGCATTAGAATCATTACCCTATACATCAGGCGGAAAAGCATTAAGCAAAATCCTGATAGAAGAAAAGAAGATTTGAATATTGTAAATGCACTAAAGACACGATGACAGCAACAATAATAACAACAACTATGCCTCGGCTCCAAACAAGTTGGTCACTAAAGAAACGACATATCATAATAATTGTAAAAGAATGCTTGGACACCTGAATGACTATGTTCATTATTACTGAAAAGTAGTTTCATATTCATTTAAGACTGGATGTGCTCTTGGACACCATTAAATGAGTCATTACGACAAAAATGCCATAATTTGGTATTATAAAGCCCTCGTGGTATTTCACTTGTGGAATTGTAATCATCATCAAGAACCGTGTGTATTCTCCAACTTTTGGAGCGGATAATAAAACTGAGGATGAAAACAAAGATATCCTTGGAAGTTTAACATGCAAGATAAGTAGTATAATACCAAAAAAGCTTATTCAAGGCTAGATCTGCCCACTAAGTATTCAACGGTTGTTAAGTCTATTCTTGGATTTATTTTGCTTTTATCTTTTAATTCTATAATACAGTACTATTTAATGAACTGGCAGTACATACCTTCTCAATCTTTTCTAATTTGATAGATGGACTATCAAAAAATGGCACCAGCAATTGCAAGTTGCGGGAATACAAGTCCCTTCCTGGATGATACAATCATACGGTAAGATGAATTATCTTTTGTTTGTTGTTAAACTCAATAAGCTTCTAGCTTTGAAAGATTGTTCATTCCCGTTGTTATTCATCTACTGGAACATACTACTCCTAAGCTAGTCCAGAAACTGTGATAGATGTCTAGATTACTAACACTAGCAACAGCTACAGTATAAAAGAGAAAAAACCAGGGATATTACAAAATGAACATGTCACATACAGAATGAATTCAGTGATATTAGCTGACAATCAAGATATTTATGCAAACCAAAAAAAAGTCAGTATTATGGATTGTGCAAGTAGTACACACAGAGTATAAAGTTAGAGGAGGTCACATTAGATGGTCTGGCCATGTCTTATGCAACCTCCGAATGCACTGATATGTATGTATAGTCAAGTTCTAAGGTTCACAAACAGATTGAAGATCAAACTTAAGGAACAGGCTCATTAAAGGTTATCAGTGATACTACGTGAACAAATATCAGCATCCAACCCAAGAGTGCAGGGCAAAAAATCGAACAGCCTAATACTCTTCTAATATTCTTCAACACCAAGTGCGGGACATGCTTCCCTTACAAAAGTAAATGTGGATAACAAAATTTAGGAATAAGCAAGAAAATTCCTTGATGTGCCACAACTGTGATGCAAATTTAAATAGTTTGCCATCAGATACTGAAATCAATTCCTCTTACCACTGAATTTTATAGTTGGATCTTCGAAGATGCAGTCTTCTGCATAAATTCCACTGGTGAAGAGTCCTAGATTTAATGAAAGTTCTAAATCAGCCAAAAACCAGTTTATCTTTAACCACGCGAATAAGCATAAAAAAGAATGGGGTACATTACTCGCAATCAGAAAAAAAAATCAATGTTTCTACTTAACTTTAGCTTCAGATAAAAAAAAAGGATACCTGTAACAAAATAAGCTTTCTCATAATCTGACTTGATAATCTTTAGGACATCTTCTACATTAGAGACCAAAGGTTCTTCAGCCCCTTCATCATCAAATATCTCCAATCTGTCAAAACATTAATCAGGAAAATATATGAAATCTTGAAAATAGTAATTTACCTAATTTGAGAAAATGCATCCACTGGCTATTTTCAATAACCTGTTTCTTTTAATTGGTGAGGAGAAGCTGAAGAGCCTAAGAAGTTCAGTGACACCAGTAACAGCAATTTTCAAGAATTTTGGAGTTTGGGTTTTCATTTTCTGGTTATTGGGTGCAGGGGAGCAGCAGTAGAAACCTTGCACTTTCTGATTGGAGCAAAAACAAAACAAGAATTGCAAGAGATTAACTGGGGGAGCAGAGATTTTCCAGACAGATGGTAATTTTATATATTTTAACCAAACCTTGTTCATGAAGGTCTGTGAAAGCCTTCCATAGCAACACATACCCGCCATTTCCCTACCTGTCAGTTTGCCACTCACTAATTTCTGTTGTGCTCCACATTGGATATATTTTTGGCCAGGTATGACAATTAGTATACTGGTCATTCTGTTTTTAAGTTTTTTATTTACTTTTTTGCACACTTCAAGAAGGTACAATTTATTATTCCTAAAACGTCTCACTAAAATAATATTCTACTAATTTAAACAACAATATGATTTCTAGTTTCCTACGATGTCAAATTGTCGAAAACATCATAATATTTCGGGCTTGAGGTAATTGTTGTCAATGGATTTTTTTTCCCCACAAGTTTTGAAAAATAATGTGAATTTCAAAAGTTGTTTAGAGGTGGTTTCAACTTCTAGTCACAAATTTTCAATTTTCAAAAAAAAAAAAAAAAAAAGAGAAAAAATACAACTACCAAAGCACAATAATTCACACTTTTTTTCACCTTCAACTTAGATTTTGTCCACACGCAGAGTCACAGAATAAAGCGATCTAGCTTGCAAAAGAGCATTTGCTACGTGAAAACTAATCCATTAGTCCTGAATTGGAAAGATACATCTATTTCTGTTTCAATAAAGCAGCTGTCTTGACTTCCCGAGCAAAACAACAGCAGATACAATTAATAAACAAAGCAAGAAGCAAAGTTCAAGGCGGACTATTTCTCGCCCTCCCTAAAGCCAATCAACTATTTCAACCAAAACCTCTTTAGAGAAGTATGTTACTGCTGAGCACACTGTATTCAGTATTCTCTGTGCTCCACAAATCACAATGCATCCCCTCCTCCTCCTCGTATGTCTCTCGTTGAGCTGCTGGTTGCTTCGCATTCCTCCTCAATATTAACATCATGTAATGTAGTCTCCTCACACTCATCCAATTCCTTGTCTGAGTACTGTGATTGAGGTCTTGATGGTATCGTTGCCCTCTAGAGCCTTCACCTGTTCTGGGCTCAGCGAATCTCTAAATTCCACAATGAAATGAACGTACAATTTACCCCTCATGTATAGCCTCTGATACATTAGCATACCCTCATCACATTGCCTTGAATTGATTTGCAACAGTTGGAACAAAAAGGAGTATCAAAGTGAAATAACACTTCACTAAAACCAACTTGCACAATCATTTCAGACAATAGAATCAGTTAAATACAACAAAGTAAATGATATAGGCAAATCCTGACTGCCAAGTTCTCCCAAAAGGAAGCCAAAACATAAGCAAAGCCCACCGATGACACAATGAAGGCATGTAATATGGGCATATACCTGGATATCTGAGTTCCATTTAGTCAAATTTCATAGAAATGTCTGCAATAATTTAGAAAGTTATCCACCATACATCAAAGTAATACATGACATGTCAGTTTTCTCGAGCAACTGTACAATAACAAAGACCTCTTTTTATTATCCGAAGATAAAATTATCACCACCTTAGACTCTAATTCGGATCAAGTCTGAGTTTACCGCAATCCATAACAAGGATAAAATCAAGTGGACTTCCAGCAGATGTACTTTAATCTTGTTAGATTGAATGGAAGGAGCTAACTAGTTATCCAACCAAGCGTAAATAATTGCTAGACATGGAACTTAATAACAAAAGAGTTACTTTTCAAATATTCAAGAATCAAGAATGGGTTTTCAAGATCAATTAATGAACTTGGTCGTCAGCATATTATTAAATTTGGCACGAATAAGAGTTAAGACATTGATATGCCTATTTCTTTTTCCTTCTTGTTCTTTCCTCAATACAGAGCTCATAATCACCCCAAAAATGACGAAACTGCTCATCTAACTATACTTAAGAGTTAAGAGCAACACCCACTTCTCAGACTCTGCAGTAGCCTCAGGTACCCAAACTCTTCTGGTCTGATGTACCCATGCCGGAAAAGGAAATGAATAATAACAAGATTACAGTTTGCTTTAAAAAATGATGTACTTCTAATGACATTTGCAACTTGTGTAACTGGGACCAATCGAAAACTTTCAACCTCCCCATCCTCATTACGAGGAACAAAGCCTTCAGCAGGAAGCTTAAGATCATAACAAAACAGGACATCCCTCTTCATCCTATATCCTTCAATGTCAACGTACGACACAGCTCCAACTGGCACAGCTTGATGCAAAATAGACCTCGGTATCCCTGCCTCCTCTTTACATTCCTTAACAACATTCTCCCCGCAAGAAATGCCATGTGGCAATCCCCCTGCTACTAAATGATCCAGCATTCCTGGATAAGTGGATTTTGTTGGACTTCTCTTCGCTAACCATAAAAATTTCTGGTCATTTTTTTCAACATAGCCACTCATATGAATCCCATAAGCTTTTATCCCAAAATACGGCGCAGCTGCTCGTTCCAGCGAGAAAAATACTGGTTCCCCAAAAGATGAAACTACCGGATATAACTCATTTCTTATGCCTGGAATTAATTCGCCTAAAGACTTCACAACATTGGCTACAGCTTTCGTTCGATCCTCAGGTGTCCTCAGGTTTGGATGTAAAGTGCAACATTGACTACTATTATTTTGGGGGAAAATGAATACATTTTGAAATGGCTTAAGATAATCAGCAAACACGTGGTGTACGTACCCAATTATTTGATCTTCAATAACGAAAGGCATGAACTCGGATTGCTTCTCCGAATTGCGATTACAGAGCTTGATTTTATCGAAGAAAGCTGAGAGGGTAGAAGAGTCATTTTGAGGAGATTCGGGGAGTTGAAAGACGTCGTCCCAGGTGAAGCTACTGTCGCCGGCAGCTGAAATGGCAAATGAACGTAATTGCCGGCGGCGGAAAGAGGAAATTGGGGATTTGAGAGTCGGAATTGAAATTGGAGTATAAGAAATAAAGCGAGGGAGCCTCTGAGAAATGGAGTGACAGTAGTAATTGCAACCCATTTTTTATACAATACGAATTCACAGCTCAACTAAAGTGTGCTTCAATTTTGGAGGCTTGTAATGTAAAATTTCGGAACAACTGATAACATTACGATGTTGTGACCCGTGACCGTGAGGATAGAAAGAGGTGAAGCTTACGTTCTGTTACTTACAGTAAACTTCCGTTAAGCTGGAAATACAATGACATAATTTATTTACTCAATATAAGGCTAAGAGCCCATTTGGATTGGTTTAAAAAGTAGTTTTTCAGTAAAAATAGCTTTTAAACCAAAAGTAATAAGGTGAGATTGCCCAACTTATTGCTTTTGGCTTGTTTTAAGCAGTTTTTAACTTATTTTAAGTATTTTTTGACTTTTTTAAACACTGAAAAAAAACTAAAAAGAGCTTAATAGCCTGTTTGGCCAAGCTTTTTTTTGAGCCAAAAGTGCCTTTTTTTTTTTTTTTTTTACCAAAAGTGTTTTTGGCCAAAAATTGAGATGTTTGACCAAGCTTTTAGAAGGAAAAAAAAAGTACTTTTGAGGAGAATCAGAAGCAGTTATGGAGAAGCAGAAAAAAGTAGCTTCTCTCCAAAAGCACTTTTCTGAGAAGCACTTTTGAGAAAAATACACTTATAAGCATTTTTCAAAAGTTTGGCCAAACACTAATTACTGCTCAAAAGTACTTTTAAATTAATTAGCCAAACACAAACTGTTTCTCACCAAAAGCATTTTTTTAAAAAGTACTTTTGAGAAAAGCACTTCTCAAAATAAGTTTATTTTAGAAGCTTGGCCAAACAGACTATAAAAGCTGATTTGATCATCTTAAAAGCCAATCCAATCACCCTCTAAGTTAAGTAATACAAGTACAATAACAATCTCACAAGTGGGTATGGGAGGATAGTCAGAGGCGAATTCCAGATTTAAATTGTATGGGTTCCTATAACGATCTTAAATAAATATACAATAAGTATTTGAATTCACAATCAAATATTTAGGGACATTTAATAAATTTTTCAATACATATACAGGGTATGTGAAAAAACTATTGGGTTCACGGGAACCCATATGTAATAAGCTGAATTTGCTCCTGAGGGTATGCCTTACCCCTACTTATACGAAGACAGAGAAGTTGTTAAGTTGTTTTTAGTATACGCTCAGAACAATAAAAGGAAGAAGCAACAACAAGCAAACCAAATCAGAAAATCGAATAAAAATAAGTTAAGAATTACAAGTAAAATATATATAATACAATAACTTAGGTGCTAAAAAACTATTTCTTATTTTAAAAAAAAGAAAAATTCTATGTCAAGATTTAAAATCGGGAGAGCGTCAAGTTGATAGATGAAATTTTGTAGTTCTATGAAATAACTATAGTGACAATGAAGAAAAGTCATTTTTATATTTGATTGACCAACCTTATCCTTGTAAACCGTCCCAAACGAGAAGTTTTATTTTGTGTCTCATACAACTAATATTAATTGTATGAGGCTTCTTTTTGTCTCATAAAATTATGGACCCCAATCTTACACTGCTGGGTCCACAGAATTCTAGGTCCACAAAACTGTGATATAAAAAGTTGCCTCATACAATTAGTGTAAGTTGTATGAGACACAAAATAAAATTTTCCGTCCCAAACTAATGTTTGGCTTGGCTTATTAATGGAGTGACAAGTATTTTTTCTGTTTAAGCGCACTAATATTTTAGTAGTGGTGGTGGCGGCAACACACCACCATTGCCTTGCTCTCTAGTCTCATCCAATAAACAACCGCACATCACTAAAATCCAAAGCCAAAAACAACCCAATTCCCATTCGGCACCTAACTGAACTACACTTAGCACCAATTAAGGCCTTTGGCTGGCATCTTACATCTGCCAAATTTCCCTCTTATAGCATCTTTTAATCTTTAGATACCCTTTCATCTTGTCTTTTGTTTTTCTATGCTGCTTTCTTGTTTAACCCATCTCTTCTATTTTCTTAGAATTTGACAACAAAAGATTCCATTTTTTTTTTCTTTTTGCTGTGTATAGCACAATTCAATGGCTACTTCTTCAACTTATCTTTGCTATCCTGCAACTTCAGCTTCTGGAAAGAAACATATTTTTCCAAATGGGTCAGCTGGATTCTTGGCTTTCCGTGGTACCCGTTTGTCGAACCGGTTAGTGACCCGGAAGTCAGTTATTCGTGCTGATTTGGACTCCATGGTCTCTGATATGAGTACAAATGGTAAAGTTTGTCCACTTCCCTATTTAATTTGAGATATCGAACTGAATTATGAAGGGGTGTTAAGTAGTTGTGCTTTCCTATGTGTATATCTTGGTTAGAAGTGTCTTTTGTCTTTGAGTTTTGTTCTCTAATTTTGGTGGAAGATAATATTTCTGTGGGTACCTAGCCACAAACTTTGAGGTTAATATTTTCTTTGTATTTTGTTGGATGCTTTGGATATCAGCCGGTTGTTTTTTTTTAAAAAAAAAAAGTTGTTTTGTGTATGTCTTGATTGCACATTTGTGTTTTCTCTTTGAGCCTTGCTTTTAAACCTGGACAATTTGACTTAAGGTGGTCGTATTTATCTGTGTTGTAAATTCAGAAGTTCTAGTGGAAGACAGGATTTTTAAGGATGTCAGCGCACTTTGAGGTTGATGGTTCTTTGTACTTTCCTGTATTCTTTTGTATCACAGATTTCTTCATCTAAAAGGAATTTATGACTAGCAAACTAGGGCTTCTTGCATTTCATGTGAAGTTTTGCTTAGCAAGGAAAATAGTGCCAAGGCATCACATCCAAACCATTAACCCAATAAAAGAGTGAGCAATTGATACGATCCTATTAGCCTAATACCCTATTAGAAAATCGGTTAGGGGTTTGTTACGAAGTTGTTAGAAACTCACGTGAGCTGCACGTGCTAGGCCACTGAAGGAAGAGGACTTCCTAAAGTTAGTTACAACTAACTTTCCCGCCTCTCCTATATAGGTTGATTTTTTGCCCCAATTCTGTACAATTCCTCCTGTAATGTTCTGAATAAGAAATCTATCTTCTTTTCTTCTCTCTCTATCTTTTTCCAATTACTCAGAACTCCATTGTTGAGTTCTAATCGAGCGCACTGTTCAAGGGCAATCCTCCATTTGCTCTTTAGGTGAGCTTCCTTGTCGTTTCATAGTTGGAATTCAGTTGAGTTCCTATCATTGGTATCAGAGCAATCCTTCCTTGGAGCTGTGGAAATGGGCGATCACAACACTCGAATGCACGAGTTGAGGAAAGAAGTTGATAGTCTCAAAGGATCGATAGAGTCTGTGACATCAAGTGTGGCAGAATTGCAGAAATCTGTCGATAATAGGGTGACCCAGGCTATGGAAGAAATTAGGAAAATGTTGATGGGGAATTTGGTGACAACTGGAGCCCAAAATCAAGAGTTTCCTGTGGAGAATGAAAGACCAGAGGTGGTAGGTCCTCGTCCTAAAGGCCATCAACCTCCCAATCGCGACTATCATACAGAATTTCCTGTTTTTGATGGTGTAGGGTTGAAAGACTGGCTATACAAATGCGAACAGATTTTCGCATATGAGGAGATACCTGAAGAATCTAAAGTGAGGGCAGTTCCGTGCAAATTGGAGGCAAGGGCTCTACAATGGCATCAATCCTATATGAAGCAAAGAGTGACCAGGGATTGGCCAAGGTGGGGTGAGTATCTAGCTTGCTTGTATGCTCGATTTGGCTCTGAGCTATTTGACGACCCCATGGGAGACCTTAAGGATCTAAGGCAGGTAAGCTCAGTCCAAGATTATGTTGATTTGTTTGATGAACTGTTAACTAGGGTGGAATTACCAGAAGAATATGTTGTTAGCTGCTTCATTAGGGGTTTGAAACCAGAAATTGGGTTACCTGTTAAGATGTTAGCACCTAGATCTTTAGCTAAAGCCATTAGTTTAGCTAGGATTCATGAGCAGACATTGATAGTCCAGAAACAAGTTTTCATGATTCCCTCAAATCCTTCATTTTCAACCAAAAATACCCCCAGATTTTCATCTGTTAACCCTCAACATTCCCAATCCAATATTCATATACCTCCCAAATTTAGCCAACCATCAAATAAACCTGCCAACTCCCAAACCTTACCTACTAAACCTACCTACAGAAATGCCAAAAGAATAACCCCTGCTGAAATGGAGGAAAGAAGTAGTAAAGGCCTTTGTTATAACTGTGATGAGAAATACAATTTTGGTCATGTATGTAAAAATAGGAGACAACTGTTCTCTATGGAGGTGGAAGAAGACTTAGAAGGAATAGAGGTAGAGCAAGATGTGATGCTAGATTCAGCAGAATTATTGAGTATGATTGGTCAAGGGTGGGAAACGATGATGAGGGGGCCATTTTGCCTCATGTGTCAGTCCATGATATGAATGGTCTGCATGACTTTAGGACTATGAGGGTGACTGTGTCAGTCAAAGGCAAGGCTGTGCAAGTCCTAATTGATACTGGCAGCACTCACAATTTCTTGGACCTTAATACTGCCAAGAAATTGGGTTGTGTGTTGACAGCTATAGCCCCTTTTGATGTGTCTGTGGCTGATGGGAAGAAGGTGAAAAGCAACTACATATGCAAGAAGCTGGTATGGAAGATGCAGGGTGTGTCCTTTGATTCAGATATGCTGGTATTACCAATTGGAGGGTGCAGCATGGTCTTGGGTATTCAGTGGTTAATCACATTGGGGGACATCATGTGGAACTTCAAAAAACTTAGAATAGAGTTCAGCATTATGGGCCACAAGGTGTCACTAAGAGGAATACAACCTCCAGCTACCAAGTTGATTCAGCAAGGCAGCATGGACAAGTTGTTGGCCAAACCTGCAGAGTTATGCATGATATCTGTAGGTTTGTTCAGGGAACACCACCAGCAAGCTGTGGACATTAGCCTATTAACAGTGGAAGGATCAACTAAGGAGCCTACTAGGAGTGGGGAATTACAAGCTATATTGCAGCAGTACAGTGATCTCTTTGAGGAACCAAAACAACTTCCTCCCTCCAGACTGCATGACCATAAGATCATTCTAAAAGAAGGTACTTCTCTTATTAATATCAGACCTTATAGGTACCCTAATGTGCAGAAAAATGAAATTGAAAAGATGGTGAATGAGATGTTAGAGTCTGGGGTCATAAGGAACAATACTAGTCCTTATTCATCTCCTATTGTAATGGTTAAGAAGAAGGATGGATCTTGGCATTTATGTGTGGATTATAGGGAGTTAAACAGTTGCACTGTCAAGGACTAATTCCCTATACCTGTAATTGAAGAGCTGTTGGATGAATTGCATGATGCTAAATACTTCTCTAAGTTAGACCTAAGGGCTGGCTACCACCAAATTAGGATGTTTGAACCAGACATACCTAAGACTGCCTTTAGGACCCACCATGGCCACTATGAATTCCTAGTTATGCCTTTTGGTTTAACTAATGCCCCTTCTACTTTTCAAAGATTGATGATTCAGATTTTTCACAAATTTCTCAAGAAGTTCATCCTAGTTTTCTTTGATGATATACTCATATACAGTCAAAGCTGGACTGATCACTTAGTACATTTGGAGGAAGCTATCAAGGTGTTGAGGTTCCATACCTTGTTCATCAAGCAGAGCAAATGTGCTTTTGGAGTCGCTCAAATTGACTACTTAGGCCACATTATTTCTGAGCATGGTGTGTCTATGGATAATCAGAAGGTAAAAGGGGTGCTAGATTGGCCCCTACCTTCTTCTGTCAAGGGTCTAAGGGAATTCTTGGGACTGACTGGTTATTACAGGAGATTTATCAAGGGGTATGGTGTAATTGCAAGGCCTCTAACTGATTTGCTCAAGAAGGGTAACTTTCAATGGAATATTGAAGCCACTGTTTCCTTTGAAGAATTAAAGAGGGCTATTACTTCAGCACCTGTTTTAGCTCTCCCTGATTTTTCAAAAACATTCACAGTTGAAACTGATGCTTCTGGTGGAGGGATTGGAGCTGTTCTAGCCCAAGACAATAAACCTATTGCTTTCTTTAGTAAGGGTCTGTCAGCCAAGAACAGGGCACTATCAGTATATGAAAGAGAATTACTGGCCTTAGTATCTGCTGTACAAAAGTGGAGACCCTATTTGCTGGGAAGACCATTCACCATCAAAACTGATCATCACAGCCCTAAGTACCTATTGGAGCAGAGGATCACTACTCCTAGCCAGCAGAAATGGCTAGTCAAGTTGCTTGGCTATGACTATTCTATTGACTACAAGAAGGGAAAAGAGAATGTGGTTGCTGATGCTTTATCTAGAAGGGAAGAGGACATTCAACTGTACAGCATCTCCAATGTCAGCTCAGACATTCTGGAATCAGTCAAGACTTCATGGGCTCAGGATCTCCCACTTCAACAGCTTATCAAATCCATACAGGAGGGCAAAACCACTAAACCTTACTATAGGTTTCACAATGGGATTCTAAGCAGGAAGAATAAATTGGTGATTGGTACTGATCAAGCACTCAGAACTAAGCTCTTATCCTATTACCATGACAGTCCTATAGGAGGTCATCCTGGCATTACAGCCACACTAAAAAGGCTTAAACAGGATTTTTATTGGAAGAAAATGAAGCAGGATGTTTACAACTATATAAGAAGCTGTGATGTGTGTCAAAAATGCAAAAATGAAACTGTGGCTTTTCCTGGATTACTACAGCCTTTACCTATACCAGAAAAGGTTTGGCAAGACATATCCATAGACTTCATTGAGGGCCTTCCTAAGGTTGCTGGGGAAAGAAGTAATCTTTGTGGTGGTTGATCGACTAAGCAAGGCTGCCCATTTCATAGCTCTCAAGCATCCTTACACTGCCTTGGAAGTGGCTCAGGTGTTCATGGACGAGGTGTTTAGGCTTCATGGGATGCCTAAGTCTATAGTGTCTGATAGAGATCCTGTGTTCACAAGTAAATTTTGGAAGGAGCTGTGCAAATTGCAGCAGGTTTCTCTCCTTACTTCCACAGCCTACCATCCTCAAACTGATGGCCAGACAGAGGTGGTTAATAGATGTGTAGAAGCTTACCTTAGATGCATGACATTTGAGAAACCAAGAACATGGCAACAATGGCTACCACTAGCTGAATGGTGGTACAACACATCCTATCATTCCAGCACCAACATAGCACCAACATGACTCCTTATGAGGCAGTCTATGGCCAGAAGCCCCCTCCCTTGCTTCCTTATATGAGTTTTGACTCTCAATTAGATTTGGTTGATAGAAGTCTGCAAGCTAGGGAGGCCACCCTCAGACTGTTGAAGTCCCATTTGGAAAAAGCTCAGAATAGGATGAAGACCCAAGCTGATAAGGGAAGAACTGATAGAGCATATGCAGTAGGTGATTGGGTTTATGTCAAGCTACAACCATATAGACAGCTCTCTCTTAAGTCTCATGGGTATCAGAAACTCTCACCTAAGTTTTTTGGTCCTTTCAAAATCATTGCTAAGGTGGGAGCAGTTGCTTACACTTTGGACCTACCTATTGGTACAAAGATCCACCCCACTTTTCACATCTCCCAATTGAAAAGGAAGATTGGCTCTCACTCAGCCACAGTTACTTTACCAGTGGTGTTCTCAGATGAAGGTCATGTTCTATTGGAACCTGAAGCTATATTGGATAGGCGCATGATTCAGAAACATGGGCGTGCTGTTCTCAGATCCTAGTCAAATGGTTTAATGCTGCCCCTGAAGATAGCACTTGGGAAGACTACTATGACATGAAGCAGAGGTTTCCCTTATTTCATCCTTGAGGACAAGGATTGTCTGTAGAGGGGGGTAGTTGATACGATCCTATTAGCCAAATACCCTATTAGAAAATCAGTTAGGAGTTTGTTAAGAAGTTGTTAGAAACTCACGTGAGCTGCACGTGCTAGGCCACTTAAGGAAGAGGACTTCCTAAAGTTAGTTACAACTAACTTTCCCGCCTCTCCTATATAGGTTGATTTTTGCCCCAATTCTGTACAATTCCTCCTGTAATGTTCTGAATAAGAAATCTATCTTCTTTTCTTCTCTCTCTATCTTTTTCCAATTACTCAGAACTCCATTGTTGAGTTCTTATCGAGCGCACTGTTCAAGGGCAATCCTCCGGATTTTGCTCTTTAGGTGAGCTTCCTTGTCGTTTCATAGTTGGAATTCAGTTGAGTTCCTATCAGCAATCATAGGTCAGAGGGTCCACAATGGTTTCGGATTGAATTAAGCTGCAAAGATGTGTGTGTTTGAGGTTGGAGAAGGGTTAGAGGGCGAGGCAGGAATGATTAAAAGATGAAAGGGGTGAGAAGCATAATTCATTCCCTTTTGTATACTTGCTTTCACAGGATCAGTCTAGGACTGGATATGTCAAGAAAGCGTAGGCAAGTTGGAAACAAAAGAACTTCACTATCATTTCAATCTTCTCTCTTTAGACAGAAATATATACTTTTTGTGTAACTTAATGATAAACAAGTTGTTGTACTAAAATTTTGAAAAAGAACTATCTGAATAAGGTAAAATGAGTTGGAAACAGCCTCTTGCAAGAATGCAGGGTAAGGCTGCGTACAATAGATCCTTGTGGTTCGGCCCTTCCCCGGACCCCGCATATAGCGGGAGCTTAGTGCATCGGGCTACCCTTTTTATAGTGTCTGGAAATCTAGAGGGACAATCTCTGTTATATAAGTTAATGTACTGCTGCTGAAACAAATTTTCAACTTACAGCTCCAAAAGGGCTATTTCCACCTGAACCTGAACATTATCGAGGGCCAAAGCTGAAAGTAGCTATTATTGGAGCTGGGCTTGCAGGCATGTCGACTGCTGTGGAGCTCTTGGATCAAGGACATGAGGTTCAGAAGCCTAACATCCCCTTTCAAGAATTGCTATGATCAATTCACTTTGAAACAAAACTATTAACCAAAAAAGATGAAAAAATTGTCTTTATCTTTGTTTTTAACCAGTGACCTGGAATTTTCATGTCTTCTACTTTCTTTCAGGTGGATATATATGAATCGAGGCCTTTTATTGGTGGGAAAGTGGGTTCTTTTGTTGATAGACGTGGAAACCACATTGAAATGGGACTGCATGTGTTCTTTGGTTGCTATAATAATCTGTTCCGTTTGTTGAAAAAGGTGAACAGAGCTCTCCATTCATAGTTCTATTGTATTTCTACTTACTGAGTGGTTGCGCATGCAATGGAACTGCATTACTGCTCACTCTTTGTTAAGGTGCATTAATGCCTAAAATTAAACTTCGTTTGATAGTAGGACAATGGATATTAAAGTGCAAGGAGTCTTGATATTTTTTTCCTGTTCAGCTTTATCAGTTAAGTAATTCTATTTCTTTTTCCTGGTTGATGTAGGTGGGTGCTGAAAAAAATCTGCTAGTGAAGGACCATACCCACACATTTGTAAATAAAGGGGGTGAAATAGGGGGTATGATTTTATTTGTGCGGCACAAAATATTTCATCTAGGGGAACTTTAAAATGCTTTCACAAATGACTCCTAGAGGAACATGTCTTCCAATATATAAAGTTAACATGGTCTGTTACTATCTAATTTACCGTCTATACCTCAATGCAGAGCTTGATTTCCGTTTTCCGGTTGGAGCACCCCTACATGGAATTAATGCATTTTTGACTACTAATCAGCTAAAGGTAACATGCTAATGCCCTCTTCGTAATTGATTTTGCAGTTCATGCTATCTCTTATACTAAAATAAAAAATGTACAGTACAGCTCCTTGGTTTGATCAGTGTTATTGGTCATGCCTTTGGCATTTGACTCTTGGCTTCATTTATTGCTGCACCTACATCAGCTCCTTCTTAACGGTTCACTTACCTAGACCGTAGAATGGTATAATAGTGATCTTCGGGCTGGTTGTCTACCATTATTAATTCGTGGTTTTCTTTGAAAAAAGAAGAGAGAAGATATCAGTTATTGTCATTTCTGTGTTGCTGTTGTTGCAAACCCTGATTAATGCTCGTCTTAAATGTGATCGTCGTTAACATGGTCTTCCCTTTAAATGCAGACTTACGATAAAGCTAGAAATGCTGTAGCTCTTGCCCTTAGTCCAGTGGTGCGGGCTTTAGTTGATCCAGATGGTGCATTGCAGCAGATACGTGATTTGGATAGCGTAAGTGTTATTTCCTTTTTTCGCCTCCTCCTTGTTAACAAGTCAGATAGTCTGTTTCTCTGCAAGGATGTGTCCTCTCCAGCTACTTGTTCCTTATAATATCTGTTTCAACTTTCAGGTAAGCTTTTCGGAGTGGTTTATGTCTAAAGGCGGGACGCGTACTAGCATCCAGAGGATGTGGGATCCTGTCGCATATGCTCTTGGATTCATTGACTGTGACAATATCAGTGCTCGGTGTATGCTCACTATATTTGCATTATTTGCCACTAAAACGGAGGCTTCCCTTTTACGCATGCTTAAAGGTTCTCCTGACGTTTATTTGAGTGGTCCCATTAAGAAGTACATCTTGGATAAGGGGGGCAGGTAAGACCAAATATGGAAACAGCTGCTCACTGTGAATTAGCTGATTTTGGACTTGAAATTGCTCTTATTGTGGTCCAGCAGATTTCAGCCTGAAATTTTCTCATGAATGAACTGCTTATGCTCAGTTTATTCTGAATCTGTTCTCTGTTAACAGGTTCCATCTGAGGTGGGGGTGCAGAGAGGTACTCTATGAGACATCCTCTGATGGAAGTATGTACGTTAGCGGGCTTGCAATGTCAAAGGTAAAATCTTTCTTTCATCTGTTTATCACCTTTTAAAAGAATAGCTTTCAATATGTTCAAATGTTAGGCTCTTTTATGCATATATAAGTACTTCATGCTGCTTTACAATTGTGGATGTGTTCATCAACTGCTATGGTGTCTACGTGCAGGCCACTCAGAAGAAAATTGTAAAAGCTGATGCTTATGTCGCTGGTTGGTAATCAACAATATGATTGATGTGAATTTTCCCTCATTTCCCTCCTTTTCAACAGCATAAAACTGAAACTGTTTTGGCTGATATCTAATTGCAGCATGTGATGTCCCTGGAATTAAAAGATTGTTACCTCAGAAGTGGAGGGAATTGGAATTATTTGACAACATTTACAAATTGGTTGGAGTGCCTGTTGTTACAGTGCAACTACGATACAATGGCTGGGTTACAGAGTTGCAGGACTTGGAGCGTTCGAGGTGATACATTTGTGGCTCAGAAGCAACTATTTTCCTCAATATGAAAATCTTGTATGATGAACTACTATATCTGTGTGTTAAGATAAGAATCTCTCTGTAATCCAGGCAATTGAAGCGCGCTACAGGTTTGGACAATCTCCTGTATACACCAGATGCAGATTTCTCTTGCTTTGCGGACCTTGCATTGGCATCTCCGGAAGATTATTACATTGAGGGCCAAGGCTCATTGCTTCAGTAAGGAATTACGTTCTTATCTTTACTATCAGAAAGCTGCTCAGCAACTCAATAGATATTCTGATCAGATTAAATCTTCTAGTTATCTTCTCTGATCTATCTTGGTGCCTTCAGATGTGTCCTTACGCCAGGTGACCCGTACATGCCTCTACTAAATGATGAAATCATAAAAAGAGTGTCAAAGCAGGTAATTTAGCTTCTTATACGTGCCTTTTTTTTTCTTCTCGAAAACCTTTAGAACATGATTTTACTTAACAGGAAATGATATATACATAATAACCGAGTAATCTGCAAGGGCCTGGGATTTGGTCTAGTGGTAAGAGCGCAACACGTGTTATGTGGGTTAGGCGCACATTACGGGTTTGAAACCTACTGCAAACAAAAGCTTGGTAATTAAGTGGAGAGAGGAAGAGGGGCAGGCCCATTATCCACCGAGTTTCGAACCGTGCGCCACTAGCCCTTGCAGACTTCTTTGGTTTTCAAAAAGAGTGTAGCATTTGGTTGGCTGCATAAGAGAAAATAATTTTTGCATAACTAATGTAACATTTGGTTAGCGGTATTAAATACCATCTGCCTTAAGTTATATGAAAACTATGTATAATTTTATGGGGAAAAGAATATTTAGTAAGAATGTGTGCGTTAAGTTATATGAGAACTATGTATAATATTATGGGGGAAGAATATGTAGTAAGAATGCGTGTATTAGCAGTACGAGGATTAAGCTATTTAACGACAAAAGTGTCCTTAAAGTAAGTGTTCTGCATTATAACCCTTGCATAACTAGGATGTGAATCAAATGGCTCCTTAATGTATAAGGTATTTTGGTTTCAGGTTTTGGCACTATTTCCTTCTTCCCAAGGTCTTGAGGTTACCTGGTCATCAGTTGTGAAAATTGGGCAATCCCTGTATCGTGAAGGACCTGGTAAAGACCCATTCAGACCTGATCAGAAGACGCCAGTGGAAAATTTCTTTCTTGCTGGCTCATATACAAAACAGGTAGTCTGCTTTTATCCAGTACTCTTAATACTTTGATCTGTGTATTAAACATGTGATGCTTCTACTCAAAGAGAAAAGTTTATCTTAGTGATAGTAAGATTTAGGTCAAGTTTAATATCTGTTTGGCCAATATTTACCAGAAAAAGAAGTGAATGGCTGAAAATCATATTATGTATATAGAAGTGCATATTCTTTACGAGTTGTGAATTGATAGTATCCGAGTCTAATTGAAATGGTCTCTCTTTGAGAAAGTGTTACAGAAACTTCTTGGTCTTGATTGTTGTAAAAAGAAGAGTTCATATGTAACTAATGACATTTTGGAGGCTTTGGAACTTTAAACTATTGGATCGGGACCTCTTTATGCCAAATAGTACAAATGTCTTATGTGAAATTTAACAATGAGCTGCAGCCAAGTATGCAATACTACCTGCAATAATTTCGTTTTGCTGAGGATACAGCACATTGGTTAACTTCCCTCTTGTGTGAAAATGCCTGTTTTCCTCAGGACTACATCGATAGCATGGAAGGGGCAACTCTTTCAGGTAGGCAAGCTTCTGCATACGTATGTGATGCTGGCGAGAAGCTGGTGGCATTGCGGAAAAAGATTGCTGCTGCTGAGTCAAACGAGATCTCTGAAGGTGTATCAGTATCTGATGAGTTGAGTCTTGTCTGATGACTGGAAATCATCCAATGAATACTGAAGAGCACCCCCCACTTTGTTAATCCGAGAAGCAGATACAAACATAAATCAGTTAGGCATTGCACAAGGACCAGTTGTTCTAAATTTTGAGTTCACAAGATGGAAATCAAAAGGTTAAAATATGTTGTATGTAATATTAGTAAATCTTCATAGTGATGTATCTATTCTGCCACCCTTAAGGTTTAGTGAAATGGATCGTATTGCTCATCATTCATTGAGAAGAACTTTATTACACCTGAGACTATGAGCCTTCTACTTTTATGAAATATTATTTTTATTACTTATTTATAACTAACACGGATCGGACATGATAGAGAGAGGAGGTTGAAGGCAAGGATGAATACTTTGTATCCCTTGCCCAGAAAGTATCGGTTAATACATATGTTATAGTTGTTTTTTTATTAGAGGCAGAGAAGACAATGAAAGTGAACAATTAAGTGAAGGAAGCCACAGAAGAGAAGGATGGATGCAATCATGTTTAAGGTGAGAGGAAAAACATAACATGGTTGTTGAAGCACAAACAAATGCGAGCTACAGATACGTTGTTGAACTGATTGCCTCTAATCAAGACTCTTTTACGTAATTATCCTTTGTAACCATTCTTTTTATTTGTATAATTGTGTTTTAAGATAAATAAGAAATTCTCTAGAACTTGAGGCTCTTTTTAGAGAAAGGGGTGAAGCTGCAGTCACATGTGGTTACTCTATGCAGACAAGTGCTCCTATCGAGGACATGCCCCCGATAGGAGGGTATGGAGGTCGAGGATTAGGGTTGTGGGTTGACAGGCAGTTTAGAGTTTCGTCTAATATTAGTACTAGTCTTGTATTTTCCTATTCATAGCCTCTTGCTATTATATGATGTGTCATTATTTCTAGTAGGATTGGCTCTATTCTGATAGCGTCATTGTTTATTGCTTCATTTCTACTTTCGGAAATAAACTCTCTACCGGATAAGGTAGGGGTAAGATACGCCTACAATTTACCCTCCCCAGAACCTAATTGTGGGATTCTACTGGATTTTTTATTGTTGTTGTTGTACTTTTTTAATGAAAAATTTGCTATGAAGTTTAGATATACCAATCTCAAGGGGAAGTAAAAAAGAAAAGGAAATGAAATTAAGGAACATAATTTACGAAGAAATAGTCTCCTAACACCAAATGCCATGTTTATTTAAAGATGAAAATGTAACAGCAAACAATACAAGATTAAAACAACTGTTATAGACCACAACTGACTTATTTTAAGGAAGGAAATCAACCCTAGTACATTGACATACCAAAACAGAATCCCTCTAATAAAACATTGCAACAAAAGAACTCAATCAATTCTCCTTTTCCTCATCAATTGCAGCATTTGCAGCAGCATGATCCTCATCAAAGACCAAATCCCACTGCCCTTCCCACTTGAGAAAGAACTCTGTATCTTCCAAATACTTCACCCTATGTACATCCCCAGCTGGAGTAAACAAATAATCTCCAACACCCAAATCATATTTCTTCCCTTTACTCAAATTCCACACCCTTTTACTCCCCTTGAACACCACAAGATCATGCCCAAATGTATGGTGATGAGCTGGCTCAACACTCCCTGCAGTGAATTTCACAAAAGCTGAAGTAGGACTCTCCCTCACTATTGTCATTGACCCACCTGGCATTATTTCCACTGGCTTAAACTCTCTGTCCTTTACCAAAGAACATAGATTACAATTCCCAGATTCCCCTTTTTCTCCACTTTCCAGAGATGGCCCCAAAGTTCCAATCTTTGACATTTCAGTAATCGAATTTTCCAAGAATTGGTCAATTTCGTCAGGCCATGGGTTTGATCCAGAAGCCGGGCAGGGAGACCTAAAGGGTGTTTCTAGAAACGTCTTGAGAACTTCGGCAGCTACTTCCGGCGTAGTATTCATGCCGGAGACGGCGAGAACGTTGCAATTATTGATGGAACGAGCATTGCGGGCTTCATCAGGGTTGAGACACGTGGCTGCATAAACGCCGGGGAATTTGTTAGCGAAGATGGCAACTCCGACGCCGGTACCACAGGCGACGAGTCCACGTGTCTCGACGGCGGGGTTATTATTAGCGGCTTGGCTAACTCGGCGGCCGATTTCTTCGCCGACGGAGTAGTATTTGTCGGTGCCGAGGTCTTCGACTTCGATGTTGAGAGCGCGGAGTTGGGAGAGTAAGGTGTCTTTGAGGTTGCAGCCGAATGAATCGGCGCCGGCGATGATTTTCAAGGGTCGTTTCGTTGATTCTTGAGCCATTGGAGATATGATTTGACTTACTTTGACTTGCTATGAGCTGAGTTACTGTGAATATATGTGTTGGAAATATTAATACTGCTTATTGATTTGTTTAGCATGTGAAGATCACATGATCCAAAATTTAACTTCACGTGATTAGGTAATTAAGAATAGGCATTTTAATACGACAGCGGATTTTGTGGCTATTTTATATATATATATATATATATAAAATGTATTTTTAATATATTAACTAGGAAATGCAATTATTTTTGACTGACGGGCTACATGTGTAACTTAATTTAAACGTCTTTTCTTTATGAGTTGATTTTCTTTAATTTTTATGTGAATATACAAGAAGTTAATTCAATTGATAAGGATAATTAAGTTAACTTTCTCTTTGTGCCTAAGAAAAAAACTAGAGTCTAATAGGTTACGATTCTCAATAGTGGTACAGCAATAAAAATGTCAAGCGATTAATAGGTAAGAAGAAAAAAGTTAACTTTCTTTTTTAGAACTAGGAAAATGGGAAATGAAAAAATCTCTTTTTTTACTCCAAAACAAATAAACTTCCATTAAATTAAAATAAATAAAACAAGTGTACTTTATGAAATGTCACTTGAAAATATCTATTGGTTTGAAAATATCTTCTGTATTTTTCTAGGAAATGCTATTAGTTCTGCGTGTTTTTTCTCCTAATTTTTAGTCAATCGTGGAATCTATCACGTAGTCCTCCACAAATTCTTTGGTAGCCATTTTTTGCAGCGACTTACATATTCTCTGCAAATAATAAAGCCAATAACCGATGAAATTTACAATCTTTCCAAACCTTAGATCAATCATAAATTTATAATTTATAAATCAAGCAACACAATAAAATAGTAAATATTTAAACGTTCGTAAATTCACAAGCTCGCATTTCAGTAAAGTGATTCTCCATACCTACCACAATATGCACTATATAATAAGTGTATTCTATAAAGTTTTGACATTATGTGTATCGTTTGACAAATATCACACTAAGCCTGTATACGGTAGAAATCGGGGCTACCCGATTTTATTCTTTGGTCGAGATAGGAGTGTCACATTGAAAAACCAGGACGTCGAGTCATCCCGAGGTCGACCTCGATTGTGGACAGAAGGAGGCAGACTTCGAGTGACACCGGCATGGCTTGATAACGGAAAAAGTGAGATATTCCGCGATTGGTCGAGAATTGTGGCATGAATCTCGGAACGGATCGTCTGCAGCGGTTAATTAGATGTTAATATGATTTCCTACTATAATTAGAAGTGTACCTTATTTAGGACTCCTCCATTATATAAAGAGGGATCCCATTCATTTGTAAGCATCACTGTCCACTGATAAGAATATATACATTCATTATTTTCCTGCTATTTCATTTACTGTTCACCAGAGTTGCTTTATCATTTGCTATTCTTATTATCACACCCCGAGACTACCACAAGTCGAGGTCGAGATTTGGCTAGCATACTAGTTTGATTTATTTTGTTCTCTAATTTATCCATTTAATTCCTTGTTTATCAATTGGTATTGGATTGAATCACATATCCTTAAAACCACAATATAAGTTTAATTGTTACTCGAATTTTAGGGTAAATAGTTTGGCGCCCACCGTGGGGCTAAGGATAATAGTGATTGTTCGGCGCTAATTCTGATAACACACATTATTTCACGCTTGTTCTTGTCAAGTATTTTTGCTCTCAAGTTAAAACATGTCAAACTCACAAAACACACCCACACATGGTGATGATGGTCTCGAGTTTCACGGGGAAGACGACTATGTAATTGCTCCAGGAGCCGGGGTGCCACCGGCTAATCTCGGGGGAGCACCAGTTGCCGATCCAGTCGATGTCAGTTTGCACGTTGCTCTAAATGCGGACCTAGGCGCGGACCCCGAAGGGAGTGTACGCAGGGAAGGCCGATCTGGTGGTCAAGGTACACAAAGCAGAGGAGGCGGAAGAGTTAGTCTCCAGGTGATATTCGAGATGCTACAGGCTCAATAGGCCGCTATTGTGCAGTTGCAAAATCAACATGGGACTCCAAGTGGGGTCGATCCAGAAATCACTCGCCATACAGAGCTAGTGCCAGAAAGGTCGAATGGTAACGAATCGAGGACTGATCCTGCAATAATGAAAATGCTCAAAGAGCTCACCAAAAGAATTGAATCAGAAGAGAAGAAAATCGAAGCTAATGATAAAAAAGTGGAAACATACAACTCCCGAGTTGATCAGATACCGGAGGCACCCTCGATCCTAAAGGGTTTGAATTTGAAAAAGTTCGTGCAGAAGCCTTTTCCTCAAAGTGCGGCTCTGAAGCCCACTCCTAAGAAGTTCCGTATGCTGGACATACCTAAGTACAACGGGACCACCGATCCTAATGAACACATCACTTCGTACACGTGCGGAATAAAGGGAAATGACCTAGAAGATGATGAAATCGAATTTGTGTTGTTGAAAAAGTTCGGAGAAACCCTTTCGAAGGGAGCAATGATTTGGTATCACAACCTGCCACCAAATTCCATCGACTCATTTTCTTTGTTAGCAGATTCTTTCATAAAGGCACACGCAGAGGCCATAAAGGTCGCAACAAGAAAATCGAACCTTTCCAAGATAAGACAAAGGGACAACGAAATGCTGAGGGAGTTCATATCCCGATTTCAAATGGAACGCATGGAGTTGCCACCGGTCACAGATGATTGGGCCGTCCAAGCTCTCACCCAAGGGTTGAACGAGCGGAGTTCGATAGCATCACGTCAGTTGAAACAAATTTTGATCGAGTATCCAGCTGTAACTTGGGCAGATGTGCACAATTGGTATCAATCGAAGATCAGGCTCGAGGACGACCAATTAGGAGCCCCTTCCGATTCAGTACATCCAAACGGGTCGATAGTTAAAACCCAGAGGGACGTCGATAGGGAGCCAAGGTCGAACAGAGAACGATATCAACCATATACCGCAAATTGAAGAAACAATGGTTCAGGACGCAATTCCGCCCGGAATGATCGAAGAAGTGATCGAGGACAGATTCTCGGGGACTTATGAGCAAAACTGGTTTTGATAAGCATGCTGATCCTACAGAGGCACCTCGGTTGTCGAAATATAACTTTAGCATCCACGCATCAGGCATTGTATCGACAATCGGAAGGATCAAAGATACTAGGTGGCCCAAACCCATACAGATTGATCCTTCCCAAAGAAACCCAAATTTGATGTGCAAGTATCATGGCACGCATGGTCACAAGACCGAGGATTGCAAGCGATTAAGGGAGGATGTAGCCCGTCTATTCAATGAGGGCCACCTTCGAGAGTTCCTAAGCGATCGAGCCAAGAATTATTTCAGAGAAAGGGACGCCAACAGGAAAAATGAACAGAAGGAACCCCAACATGTCATTCATATGATCGTCGGTGGGGTCGACATTCCACAGGGACCCATATTCAAATGCACTAAGGTATCAATCACTAGTGAAAAACGAACCTGATATTATGTGCCCGAAGGCTCCTTATCATTCAACGATGAAGAAGCAGAAGGCATTTCTCAGCCCTACAATGACGCTCTGGTAATTTCTATCTTATTAAATAAAGTTCAAGTTAAGCGTGTTTTAGTGGATCCAGGTAGCTCGGCGAATATCATCCGATCGAGGGTCGTGGAGCAGCTCGACCTACAAGATCAAATCGTGCTCGCAGCTCAGGCCTTAAACGACTTCAATATGGCTAGTGAAACAACTAAAGGGGAGATTATTTTACCGGTGAACGTGGCTGGAACCATTCAAGATACCAAATTCCACGTGATCGAGGGCGACATGAGGTATAATGCCCTACTCGGAAGGCCTTGGATCCACAATGTGAGGGCAGTCCCCTCGACTCTCCACCAAATGATGAAATTCCCGACGTAGGACGGTGTAAAAATAGTAGACGGGGAGCAGCATGCTGCAACGGAAATGTTTGTGGTTGATGAGGTAACGCCGATATCGACGTTATCAACCTCGGAAAGGTCAAGCATCAAAGGTAAACTGGAAGCCAAATAGCAATCACACCCACCAGTATCGACCGAATCGGGGAAGCAAGACACAGAAAAGAAGAAGAAGAAGAAGAGTATTTTCTAACTCCTCGAACTTTTATTGTTCCCGAAGATTCTGACGCCACCAAATCAACAGCCGAAGAGCTGGAACAGGTTATATTGATCGAGTACCTACCCGAGCGAAAGGTATACCTGGGAACGGGATTAACCCCCAAATTCAAGAAAAAGCTTATGCAATTTCTTATTGATAACATAGATTATTTTGCTTGGTCCCATTTAGACATAATAGGGATCCCACCGGAGATAACCACGCATCGGCTAAGCCTTGACCCTAGGTTCAAATCGATGAAGCAAAAGAGGAGACCCCAGTCTGAGGTAAAGCACACATTCATAAAGGACGAGGTAACTAAACTCCTCAAAATATGGTCCATTCGGGAGGTAAAATATCCCAAATGGTTAGCCAATGTAGTCGTAGTCCCTAAAAAAAGGAACAAACTTAGAATGTGTGTAGATTATAAAGATTTAAATAAGGCCTGTCCCAAAGATTCTTTTCCACTGCCTAACATCGATCGCATGATTGACGCCACGGCTAGCCACGAGATCCTTGCCTTTCTCGATGCATTTCGGGTACAATCAAATTCAAATGAACCCGAAAGACCAGGAAAAGACTTTATTTATCACCAAGTATGGAACATATTGCTATAATGTAATGCCCTCCGGGCTAAAAAATGTAGGAGCTACTTACCAACGCCTAGTAAATAAAATGTTTGAAGGACAAATAGGTAAATCAATGGAAGTTTATATCGCCGACATGCTAGTTAAGTCCCTCCACGCAGAGGACTATTTGGCTCATTTGCAGGAAACGTTCGAGATTTTGAGGAAATATAACATGAAGCTCAACCACGAGAAATGTGCTTTCGAGGTCGGTTCGAGCAAATTCCTGGGCTTCATGGTGTCGAATTGGGGGATCGAGATCAACCCCGATAAAATCAAGGCCATCGAGGACATAACCATCACGGACAGTGTAAAAGCCGTGTAGAGGCTGACTGGACGGATAGCTATTTTAGGCCGATTCATCTCGAGGTCGTTGGATCGAAGCCACAGATTTTTCTCTCTACTCAAAAAGAAGAACGATTTTACCTGGACCCCGGAATGCCAACAGGCATTAGAGGAATTAAAGCGATACCTATCGAGCCCACCACTGCTTCACACTCCAAAGGCAGATGAGAAACTTTACTTGTACTTGGCGTCCTAGTTTGAGAAGAGCAAGGTACAGCAATTTCCCGTTTATTATGTAAGTAGAACCTTAGGAGAAGCAGAAACTAGATATTCACACTTAGAGAAATTGGCACTTGCACTGATAAGCGCCTCTAGAAAGTTAAAACCATACTTTCAATGTCACCCCATATGCGTGTTAACCACTTACCCACTTTGTAATATTTTGCACAAGCCCGAACTATCGAGCCGATGGGCCAATGGGCCATCGAACTCAGTGGGTACGATATCGAGTATCAACCCCGAACGGCCATCAAGTCTCAAATTTTAGCGGACTTCGTGGCCGATTTTACGCCAACCACCGTACCCGAAGTTGAAAAGGAACTTTTGTTAAAATCGGGCACATCATTGGGGCATGGACCCTTTTCACAAACGGAGCTTTGAATGAGAAGGGGTCCGGGCTAGGTATCGTTTTGAAGCCGCCCACGGGTAGCACTATTAGGCAGTCTATCAAAATTTCTAGGTTGACTACCAATGAAGCTGAGTACGAGGCCATGATTGCAGGTCTCGATCTAGATAAAAGCTTGGGAGCAGAAGTCATTGAAGCCAAATGTGACTCCTTACTGGTGGTGAACCAAGTAAACAAAACCTTCGAAGTTCGAGAGGATAAAATGCAAAGGTATTTGGACAAGCTGCAGGTAACTTTGTACCTCGAGAACAAAACAGTGAGGCCGATGCGCTTGCAAATTTGGGGTCATCAGTCGAGGAAGACGAGATCAGCTTGGGGACTGTCGTTCAACTCTCGAGATCTGTGATCGAGGAAGGTCATGCCAAGATAAACTCTACAAGCTTAACCTGGGATTGGAGGAATAAATATATTGAATACTTGAAGAACGGAAAGCTCCCATCGAACCCTAAAGAGTTGAGGGCCTTACGAACCAACGCTGCTCGATTCACATTGGATGAAGATGGAACACTATATAGAAGGACATTCGATGGACCATTGGCAGTATGTTTAGGGCCAGGAGACACTGATTATGTTTTACAATGAAGGCACTAGTGGGAACCACTCTGGCACCGAATCACTGATTCACAAAATCATTAGAGCAGGATACTACTAGGATAACATGTAAAAGGGCACTAAGGAGTTTGTTCGAAAGTGTGATAAATGTCAAAGGTTTGCACCGATGATCCATCAGCCTGGAGAACAACTTCATTCAGTCCTATCCCCATGGCCATTCATGAATGGGGGATCGATATCATCGGCCCTCTGCCAACTACCCCAGGTAAAGCTAAGTTCGTTTTATTTATAACAGACTATTTCTCTAAATGGGTCGAAGCACAGGCGTTTGAGAAAGGTGAGAGAGAAAGAGGTTATAGACTTCATCTGGGATCACATCGTATGTCGATTTAGGATACCCACCGAAATAGTGTGTGACAATGGAAAACAATTTATCGGCAGCAAAGTAACGAAATTGCTCGAAGACCACAAAATAAAAAGGATATTATCAACGTCGTATCACCCTAGTGGGAACGGACAGGCCGAATCAACGAACAAGACTATCACTCAGAACTTAAAGAAAAGGTTGAACGACGCTAAGGGGAAGTGGAGAGAAATTTTACCCGAAGTCCTTTGGGCATATCGAACGACATCAAAGTCAAGTACGCGGGCAACCTCGTTTTCCTTAGTATATGGCTCCGAGGCCTTGATTTCGGTCGAAGTCAGGTAACCTAGTGCCAGATTTCGACATGCAACGGAAGAATCAAATCACGAGGCTATGAGTAGTAGCCTCGAACTATTGGATGAAAAACGAGAAGTTGCACTCGTTCGGATGGCTGCGCAAAAGCAAAGACTCGAGAGATATTATAATAGAAGAGCCAACCTTCGCCACTTTAGAATCGGGGACTTAGTTCTGAGGAAAGTCACCCTCAATATTCGAGACCGAACGAAGGGAAACTAAGCCCAAATTGGGAAGGACCATATCGGGTCCTCGGTGTCATCTTACAAACTTGGCACAATGGAGGGCGAACTATTGCCAAACAATTGAAATATATCACTCCTCAAACAGTATTATTATTAAGGTATGACTTTCCCCCTTTCCATTTGTACTTGATACTAACCTATTGTAGGTGTTCGATCGAAGACGTCGAGAAACTCTTCAACACGAGGACCTTAGGTTTCAAAGCACGCGTTGCACTCTTTTTCCCTTAGATCGATTTTTATCCCAAGTGGGTTTTTCCGGCGAGGTTTTTAACGAGGCAACAATTATGTGCTACCTGAGGAAAATCCAACAGTTTCCAAGGCTTCTTTGCAATCAACCTCGAATACTGGGGGGCATCACCCTTGGATGTTATATTTTCGAGGAAAGTACTTCATGACAAAGGGTCTCGATAGGGAAACTTTGTAATGGGCAAAACGATCGAATGAACTGTGTCCATATAGATTAGTCGAGCCCCGATGGTAAAACATGTACGCATATATAAATTATTCCAAGAAGCAGTCTTTCTATATCAAACATCTTGTGTCTCAAAGAAAATTTTCTACTATACGAGCTCCATACTTACGATTTTGTGAGAAATAGCTCAAGGGCCAAGCGCAAATATACCTCGAACACTCGGGGACTGTCATTGATGATCGACATATTCGAGTTATCTAAACTCGAATTCATAAGACCTCAAAGAGGCACCCCTCGATCTATAGGCCAAGCCCATCATTCTCGGGGACTAACACTTCGAAGTTTTATTGGGGAATAAGCCCAAGAGGCATACCCAAAGGCTACGGCCAAATTAATGTGGTTCGGAGACATCCGAATCCCGAAATAAAAATAGGCCTTCGAATTCTTTGAAAAATTGGTTTAAAAAAGGCTACCCTCGGCAAATAATCAAAAGGGTTTCGATAAAATCAGCCCTCGAAAAACCTTAAGAGGTATCAAATTATCTTAACACAAACGTGATAAGGCACAAAAAACAGATGGGGTTCAATCGACATCGAACCCTCAAAAACCCAATGGGTAAAGAAATACATGATAAGGCATAAAGAAACTTTTACTAAGTATTTTAAGCCGAAAGAGGGGAATAATAGCCATCTTATAGGGGCCATATTGGCGCAATCTAAAGAGCCTAAGGGCCAATACACTTAGAGTTCGAGATCTTGTTCTTGCTCCATCCGAACCTAAGGGTTCGACTATTCCGAGCCCAAATAAAAAGTGACTTGACTATGGCTCGGGCACTCATCACTATTCGACACAAACTCTAAAGGGCCCATGCTTCAAGTTCGAACCTTATTCGAACTCGACTGTGGTGACTTCGAGGAAGCCACCCAAAACCAAAATCTCGAACGCACCGTTCAAAGCATAAGATTGTGCTAAAGTTTTACAAGGCAAAAAACGTGTTTGTAGATTAAAATTGAGAAGGCATTCAAAAGGTAAAATTTCTTTATATATATGGGAAAAAATATCTACAAGGGACCGACGGGGGTCTTACAAAAAGAAAAGGAAAAATAAAATCCTAACTATGCCCGGGGCTGGTTTCTCCTTCAGGGGCAGCTTCTCCTTCGGGCCCCTCGTCGTTATCAGACCCGCCTTGGCTGCCTTCATCATCATCGTCATCATCGGAGGAGACAAGCAACCCGGCATCAACTTCAAGCGCCTTAGCTTGAGCTATCTCTTTGGAGAGGTCAAAACCTCGAGCATGGATTTCCTCGAGGGTCTCCCTCCGGGATTGGCACTTCGCCAAGTCATTGCTCCATCGCTCTCGATCAGAAGCCTCCCTTAGCTACGTTTGAGCAGCCTCGGCATCGGCCAGGTACACGGCTATGGACTTATTAGCCATGGTCTTTGTCTTCCCGGCCTCCGCAAGCTCGGCTTCAAGCTCCTCGATCCTTTTGGCCTGGGCTGAGCTTTTCTCTTTAATGCTCCGAAGTTGGACCTCGGCCGATGACAGTTTGGCCAAGGTAGACTCTTTCTCCGCAGCAAGGTGGTCCATGTTCTCGTTCCACCGATCACAGTCAGCTTTGATTTGATCGACTTCCCCCCGGAGCAGCTCGATCCTTTCCAGCTTTTGCTGCAACTGAGATATTGAAGTATTAGCCTCTACAGTTGGGTCGAGACCGTACTCTTTCAAAAGGATAGTTACCTGCTCGTCTAGCTCAGCCTCTTCCTTACGAGCCTGGGCCAAGTCTGCTCGGAGGTCCCTAATCTCCTCTTCTTTCTGCACATAGAGGCGTTTGAGGGCGTCTCTCTCCTCAGTAAGCCTTTTGAGATCGACCTCACACCGGTTCAGCTCGGTTTGGGATTTGGTGAACGCTTCCCGATGAAGCATCACAACCTATGGAGAAAGGAAAGAAATCAAACAGAAGGAAATAGAAGCAAACATAATAATGGGGGGTGAAGTTTACTTGGTTTAGGAGACGCTGGGCCTCATCAAAAACGATTGTCGCATCTAGGTCGAAAATATCATCGACCCCTGTAAGGCAGCCACAAAATATGTCTTCCTATCGTGGGTCGTTCCCACATTGGGGGTCTCCATAGATCGAGCCTTCTGAAATTGCCCTTCAGAAAATTCAGGGCCGGGCGGCGAATAATCAATATTGATTGCCCCAAGAAAGTCACTTGGGGCACTCTCTCCCTTCTGAAAAGCCCCAGAACCGGACCCTTCGGGCACTCTCGCCGGTTGTTCATCACGGCAGGAAATATCTTCGGCCCCCGATGACTCAGGGACTTTGCTCGGAGCACCTTCCGAGATCTCCTCGGTTCGAGGGTGAGTCTCCTCGACCATCACCAGCCCAACTGCTTTTGAAGCTTCGACGCTTCCCCTCTTTCGAGGCACCAGCTCACAACCAGCATCTCCCCCCTCCTCTTCTTCATCTCGTAACTTTTGGGCTACGTCGGCAGATAGAGCGGCGGAGTCGTCCTTCGACTTACGAGCCTTATTCTTCTTAGGCTTCGGGGTATCAGAAGGTGAGGCCCTTCTCCTTTTCTTGTCCTTAGCCGGCTTGGGAGTCACCTCTTCCCCCAGGCGGGGCCAGCCTCATTTCAGCATCCCCGAGGCCTGCATAAAAAGTAGTCAAGTATAAAAGAAACGTTTTAGAAAAAGGCGTCGAAAGCATACAGGATAAGCTTACCATGATTCTTGGCCTCCCATCTGCCCCTTGACAAGTCATGCCAGCAGCGGTCGGCATGGGAGGAAGTCAAGGCCAACTTCCGAACCCAATCTTCGAGGTCGGGGACCGCGTGAGGCATCTAGTCAATTACATAAAGCAAAAAACGAAGTTCGAAGACCAATAGGTAATACGTTACTTACTATCGGGGTTCCACTTCTCGAGGAACAACAGTTTCTCTTCTGGGATGAGGTCGCAGGTCCTTACCCGCACGAACCGGCTCATCCAACCCCGATCCTTGTCCTCATCGATGCTCGCAAAAAAGGACTTCGTTGATCGACGTTGGAGCTTGATACAACCGTAAGAGGTGGCTGAGAGTGAATTCCAACCCCTTGGTCTTGCTAGAAAAGAAGCGGAGCATGATCACTATATGCCAGAACGAGGGATGAACGTGGCCGAGGGTAACCTGGTACCTCTTGCAAAAGTCAACGATAACTGGGTCACGAGGACCCAATGTGAAGGGGTAAGTGTAGACACTTAGAAACCCCTCCACGTCAGTGGTAATACTCTCTTCGGGAGCGGGGATCTATACCACGACCTCGGCCCCCCCAGTTAAAATCTCTCTTCACAACCTCGAGATTTCCCGCCTTTATCGAGCAGATGTATCTCGACACATGTTCACATCGGCCAGGGACCGATGGAGAATTCTCGACTTTGAAGTCGGATTTTAAGACACAAGGACCGGGAACATACTCGTGAGGGAGCAGTTCCACTGGCGTTTTATCACCGGCCGGACGAAAAGAAGAGGAAGAAGCCTTCTCCTTTTGTGGGACGGTCTTGGAGGTTTTCGCCATTGATTCAGGTAGAAGGAAGCGGAAAGAGGTGAAGTTTGGTATTTTTAGTACTAACAAGATTGACTTAACGGGTGGTGGAAGAGAAGAGATGAAGAGAGTAAGAGACTCAAAGAACTTGGTGAAGGTGAAAGTAAAATTTTGATTCAACCAAAGAGCCTGTATTTATAGATTCACGGCGACGGTTCGATGGAGCTAGTGGCCGACCGACCACTGGCAAGCAGTAATGGTTTAGGAAATTGTACCGACAGGACGCTTCGGTCACCTTGATCGCGTACGTCACGGGGATGACATCACTATCGGGGTCTCCAGAAAATCGAGGCTCAAATCGTTTCTTATCATTTTACTCTAAGAAACGAGGGGACTATCTGCATACGGTAGAAATCTGGGCTACCCGATTTCATTCTTTGGTCGAGATAGGAATGTCACGTCGAAAAACCAGGACGTCGAGTCATCTCAAGGTCGACCTCGATTGCGGACAGAAGGAGGCACACTTCGAGTGACACCGGCGTGGCTTGATAACGGAAAAGGCGAGATATCCGTGATTGGTCGAGAATCGTGGCGTGAATCTCGGAACGGATCGATCTGTAGCGGTTAATTAGATGTTAATATGATTTCCTACTATAATTAGAAGTGTACCTTATTTAGGACTCCTCCATTATATAAAGAGGGATCCCATTCATTTGTAAGCATCATTGTCACTTTAAGAATATATACATTCATTATTTTCCTGCTATTTCACTTACTATTCACCAGAATTGCTTTATCGTTTGCTATTCTTATTATCACACCCCGAGACTACCACAAGTCGAGGTCGAGATTTGGCTAGCATACTGATTTGATTTATTTTGTTCTCTAATTTATCTATTTAATTCCTTGTTTATCAATTGGTATTGGATAGAATCACATATCATTAAAACCACAATATAAGTTTAATTGTTACTCGAATTTTCGGGTAAACAAAGCTGAAAAAAGTTATAATGATTTTTTAAAAAACATAATAATAAGGAGAAAGAATGTGCGAAAACAATTAACGATTAACTTAACAGAAAGAAGGTCATATGATAACATGTAAAAATTTGTAGAGTATTGTCTAAATGCGTGAAAACAATGATCATAGCTCGATTTTATCAATTTATTTTGCATAATAATAATTGGTTGAAGCTGCTTACAGTACAATATATATGATTTAGTTTACAAGATAGCAGCTTATTGGTTTTGACTCAATTACATCTTTATCCTATGATACAAGATTAGACAAGTTTACCAACAAAACCTACAAGGTTTCCCTATTACTCACACCATTCTACAAATTCTATGTAAATAGCCTTCCTTTAGTACGTCGAAACTTAATAAGAACAAGGTCCTTAAAGGGCTAAAACTTGCTTCTATACAACATGAAATTCCTTCATCAATCAAGAATGTCCCTCCTTTGTAAATGCTCATAACTAGTTCCAGATACATGTCTTTTACGGTTGATAGAAAACAATCCTGCAATTTATATGTGTAAAAAAAAAAAGGTTAAAATCACGCAAAGGCAAAACGATTGTACTCGCTTAATGCTCAAGAAAGAAGGTCATTGTCCTTTGAAATGAGGTGAAATGATCTGAATTCTGCTTATAGTGTGCAGTATGGTATTGCCATTTGCCAAGCCTTAAAGTTCATATAACTTAAGTTACCAGTTTCAAAAAAAAAGTTCATATAACTTGTTATATGAATCATAAATTAGGCTGTTGAAAGTTTTGATGTTAAAACATAGCAATGCCAATAATTTATAGTCAAAGTTATGAAAAAGTCCCCTCGGGGAACCAGCCGGGAGGGGGAGGGTGTCAGAATGGTCTAGTCAATGCTGGATGCAAATACCTCTAGAATAAGTCCGTCGGATGATCTAGTACCCCATCATCATTCCAGTCAATATCCTTGGTGCCTGATTCTTTTCCAATTATCTGAAGGGGTGCTTCTAGTGGTGGTGGAGTCTGTAGCCAAAGAACAGACATAACACATGCAACCACATTGTTAGGAAACATAAAGTTCTGATAATGTTGTGAAGACTTGGAGAAAAGCTTGAATTCAATTGAAATTTACAGCCATTTGTTAGAAGGTAAGAAGATTTTACTACCATGCAGCGAATTAGTGGCCAATTTATTCCACGGAAGAAAGGATGATCTTTGATCTCACTTGCACCGCCATTTGATCCTAAACGGCTGGCTGGATCTCTATTTAGCAAAGCATGGATCAACTGTCTAGCTGCAAGGCTCACCTGCAACTCATAGATATAAAGATGCTTTCATTTGTTTCTAATCAGAGTTTCCTTCAATTCTTTCCCAGAAACAAACTTGAAAGTAATCTCGTTTTTTATGAAATAATCTCACTTAATTTGCAAATGTAAACTTTGAGTGAAATCCCATTGACTACCGTAATAACAACACAACTATGCCTCAATTGAAAATTAGTTGGGATTGGTTACATAAATTATATTATATCCATTCCGTTCTGGTGTTTTGACCTGTTTCATTTTAATACCTATCAATTTGTCTTTAACAGTAAATGTTCTCCACATATTACACTATATCCCTAAACTGACATACAAATCTTAGTACAAACGAAAAGACTTTTGGCAAACTGTATGTGCACTAATGCCGCCAACATGACTAAGCCTTTCGACTAGTTGGTATTGTCTCCATGGATATATTGCTTCAATTTTGTTTCTAGTCTTCGCTAAGTCAGCATAGATTTGGAGAGATCACAAGTCTTTAGACAACTACTATCCATGTAATTATATGCCTACCTTCTCTGTTTTTTAGTGTCTTCGATCTTCATATGGTCACACCTACAGTATGGTGTAGTTGGAGGTCTACACAAGACATAGTAAAGTACTCTCCAATAATCTTCTTGTTGTATTCTCTATATGTGCTACTTTTACTTTCTGTCAAAATGTGATCATGTTTAATATTGTATGATTGCATCCATCTTTATGTCAACATTTCTGCGACACTCATCTTGTATATATTTGAGGGCCGCAAAGGCCTAACATTCACTCCCATATTCACTTTGATAGATATCTTCCAATCACATAGCAATGATATAGTTTTACTTATATGTGTTACATCTTCATACCATTCTCCTGGAACACTAAACCAAAATATATGAATTGCTTCATTTAGGCACCATAGTCCCGTCTAATCTTACTTCAGCTTCATTTTTCTTATGGACACTAAACTGGACGTGTGTATATTCTCTTCTACTTATCCTAATATTCAGTGCCTCTCTATAGTTCAATCTATTGGTTGACTCCTCGCAAGTATCGTCAACTAACACAAAATCATTCGCGAACAACCTGCACCAAGAACCTCTCTTGTACACTAATGGTTAGCTCATCGAACATTTCCCACAGAAGAATAAAAGGAAAGCAGGAAAAATATAGTACAAAAAAACAAGTAAATGACATAAGAGCGCCTTAAATATTATACATGGTCAAAACAATGTAAATTTACCGGAATGCTGCTAGGGAAGGTGAGGTCCTTGTTTAGGATGTTGGCAAATGTCTTCTGCCTATTCTTTCCTCTAAATGGTGTGCGCCCATAGAGCATCTCATAAAGCAAGATTCCTGAACACCAAACAGAAGAGTTTACGCAAGAAGAAGTGCATGAAGCAAAATAAATCACCTCTAATATCAGTAAGAGAAAATCAACCAGGAAAAAATTTCCCTCCCAATGTTGATTATTGTCAGATGTATCCATTGAATATCATCCAAAAGAACAACTCCTCAAGAAACTGAGTGACTATCCTTTGGGTTCATTGCAGAAAACTTGACCTATTTCCTAAAATAGCTAAACTTTCCTCCCCTCCACAATTCAAACTGAACTACCCTACTATTTCCTATTCAAAGATCTTGCTCTTAAATTCCATGCAGCTGAAACAAGGTCATCTTTAATGGGACGGGTGGCAAACTATGTTTGAGTTTGTGCCCTCCTTAAAGTACATGTAGGAATGGGCCAACTGGAAAAAAGTTACCTGATTGGGAAACCGAAAATAAGTTTGATTTAATTTCTCTTAGAAAACCGTGTCTACTCTTGTACTATAGGTTTTTTCTACAGCAAAAAGAACTATGGGTTTCACAAGATTCATCTAAGAAACAATCACACCCCATGCCGAAGATGAATACCTCCTAGTGGAACTTGACAGGAAGTCAATTGAGGCCAAACACCAATGGTGCAGCATGGAGGTCGGGACTATGCAAAACTAACACTAAAGATTTTTCAGATAATAAGACATAAAGGTTTGAAGCTTGGCGCTGAAATTACACAAAAAGGAGATGAAAAATAGCTTCAGAATATGCATGATTTCTGGAGTGATTTTCACAAATATTGCCCTGTATGTTTTGTTTCAAGAATATCTAAAGCACCATTAACAACAAAACTGCAATAAATAATTTAATGGACTGAACGAAAAGTCACGAATTTGTTTCTTGCGCACCTAAAGCCCACCAATCAATTGCACTACTGTGACCAGCTCCTGTGATGATTTCCTGAAATCAAGTCATTTAGAAATACATCAGGCAATTATAATTATCTCTCGCTGGTAGAGTGAGTTGGTATAGATTCACTGCTTCACTTATCACCAACAAACAGGAAAATGGGAAAATTAAAATATTATATTGTTCTACAAATGTCAATTCAGTGATCTGCTTCAAATGTAAACCACAAGTAAGAACTCCTCAGCGCTAATAAATTTCTACGGATAATATTTTGTTTCAGAGAAGCAAAGAAAGAAACTGTTAAGTGTAAACATATCTTTAGGAAAAAATACTACGAGAATTAAGAACCAAGAAGCAATTATATAGTATAGTAAATTGCTAAGCTGCTTAATTTTGCAATCGCTATGTGATTAGAAACAGAAAAGAGATAGCTGCTTATACATAATTCTTCATTGGGCGATGTTAATTACTCCAAAAGACACAAATTCTAGAGAGAATCCATATTTTACTCCAGATACGGAACAAGTGCATGCATTTTGTAACATGGATGGAGTCAGGGAGTATATATTGCGGAAAGTCAACTTCTGTGATAGTTTACTTTACCGGTGCTATGTATTCTTCAGTACCAACGAATGAATTTGACTGCGAAATTGGTTCTGCGACAAATGTTGGTGGTGGAGTACTCCTAGACCTTCTCCTTGAGGGAGGATGCTTTATAACCTGGGAGATATTGTCACTTTAATATTTTGAATAGATAATAACAATCAGATATAGAAAATTAAAGAGAAAGTACTGAGGGAAACATTATAAGATATCAAAAACAACAGTTTGCTTTAATCAAATTGATGGACAGTTCATAGGTTTGCTTTTTTCTCTTATTCTTCCTATTACCATCCATTTATTACTTTGAAGACATGTTTAAGATAAAAATATAAATTACTTTGAGAGATATCTTCATTCTTCTCGCTTCTGCATCAGGAGTTCATTTAGTGGGAAATTACGATGAATAGTAAAGAAGACTAAATAAACTGAAGCGTACTTGAGGTTTACAGGATGTCTTGAAAGAAAGATCAAAGTCAGTTAATACGAGATGCCCATCTGCCTGAAGTAGGATATTTTCTGGTTTCAGGTCCCGGTATATTATTCCTGTAACATGAGAATAGACGAAATGAATGAACGACAACCATTAATCATATACCTTAAAAATGGAAGCTCTTAGTACTATATCTCCCTTGATGAACCCCTCTATCTTTTGCCTGATAGAAACGTTAATATATCTTGATTTTGCAGTCTTACAAAGAGAATTGCTCCGGATGACTATTTCTTCAATTAGTAATAAGGACTTCACTTCTGCTACCGTTTTACTTTCGCAAAGTTTAATTTCTTTCTTTACCTGCAGTTCTTTACCAGTCATTCCTTTGTAAAATTTTACAAGTGTCCTAGAAACTTAATATCATTACCTATCATGCTTGCCATTGCCAGTCATGCTTATAAGGAAACACCTCAGTAAGGACTAATATATTATGTCACAAGATTATAGCAAATTAGCTACTGAAGCTTGCCATACTATCTTTAGTTATCTGGTCCCCAAAAGTCCAACCATAAATGTATCAAAGCCAATGTCCAACGCTACTTTTAGGTTAAGCTGCATATCCATTACAGATGAAGCGAGTGTATCGACGTTCCTCAAAGACTAAACAACAAATAGGAAAATGCAACTACTGAAGAAGGCTTGACTCAAAAGGTAGATGGAATACCCAAACAATGGAGATACTCCAAGCCAATTAGGACCTCTGCTGCATAAAACCTGGAAAAAAGTGTTGGTAAATACATGAGTTGATTGCATGCTTGCTGGTACAAATTTGAGAAAATCTCAAAATTTTCCAGCTCTTTACATCTTAACTCAAAAGTTTTTATGGAAGAACAATTTCTTTTTTAACAGCTTTATGCCAATGAAAAGCATATTTTGAATGATTATTTATTCAACAAACATTCCACAAAAGGGACATTTGTTGAGTATCAATAGTTCACCTATTTGACCTGAGTCTCCAAAGAGGGAGCTAATAATCCATATCGAATGCACATTTTTACCAGTGGAGAATAAGCAGAATAAAAAGGAAACTGAACTGGCCTATAGAACTGATAATAGTACAAAGTCTACTCAGATATCGATGTGTATAATTTATAGTCCTTAAAGAGCTGCTTAAATATATCTAAGATTCTCTTTCCTTTTTCAATCACAGCAATGTCCTAGATGTTCCTACAAAAAATAAAAACTCAAAGTAAAAAGGATTTATCATAAGTCATGACCTTCTCTCATATGTGAGTCTATTCTAGGAGAATGACGAAATAAAGAACATGGAAAGAACTAGAAACATTACTTCTTTCTCAAAAAACGAAAAAAGAAAAAAGAAAAAAAGAACTAGAAGCATTATTTAACAAAATACAAATGAATATGAAAAGCTTTGTCAGGTTGGAACACCGAACTTAAACACATCTTGAACCATGTAAGATGTTATAGAGCTTAGTCTACTCAAGTGTGGAGCAAGTGCAATTAAAAGATAAGTACCTTGCTGATTCCTCTTTAAATATTTTCATAGGCTGTCTGTCAAGCAAAGCAAACAACTCTCCTCCAGGACAGAAGTCTGTTATTAGGCAAACATGTGTTTCTGTCTGATCGATTAAAAAACAATGATGTGTGTTTTAGTTCACCAGGATATTTCAGTTCTAAAAGCATAAATCAGTATAACGTTGTTTAAACAATGCAAAATAATGTATTTGTCAGAAATCCAAAGGCGATGCAGGAAAGTATTTTCAGCAGGCTCTATAACCGAGTATGAAATTTGAAAGAAAATATGACCTGAAACTCAGTAAGATAAAAAGGTCGGGTAACTGTAATTTAGAACTGTGAAAATTCCAAAAAGAAAGAAGAAAAAAGACAAAAAGGATAATCAATTGATTGACCTAGCATGAAACATAATAACATACTAAATCTTATCTGTGCCGAAAATATTGTGAAAAAGGACTTAGTTAGCGTGGTTGTATTTTTTAACATGCAGGTACTTTTCAGTGTACTCAGTGTGGCCTTGCTACAAGACTAAACTTGCATATTTACAGATAATCTTAAGTTACAGCTGGTTTACGATAATAGTCTGAGTTAAATAGTTACCTGGAATGATGAATATAGTGCTGGAAGGAAAGGATGATCAAGGAGAGCTATGATTTCTCTTTCAACACATGCTCGATGTACCTGTAAATTATGCACTATTAATTTGTTTTCATATATAAGGTCGGAGAGAAGATACCAAAAATCCTGATGTAGGAAGGGAAATGTGAGGTCATGTGTTTGGAATGTAAATCCAAAGGCCATCAAGGATTAAAATGCAACAGCAAAAAGTTCAGTATACTAAATGCTCAATATACTGATGCAGTAAAATTTCTCTGGCATCCGGACCTTATTACGGTTGAGCATAATGGATTTATCCATTGCCTTCATAGCAAAAAGTTCTCCTGTACCTTTCAGTTCCACCAAATGGACACTGCAAAGAAGAGAATAAGCACTTTAAGATGGTGTTTAGAGTCTTTCTGGTCACTTTTGTTTCTCTTTCTTGTGATGAGCACTTCAAGAAAGTCGTCATTAAGTTCAGTGATATAAGTCCTCACAATAATATTTCTACACTTCAGCCTCAGAAAGGCAGTAAGGATGTCACTAGAATTTGGTAAATACAGGTTGAACACAGTGCCAATGAGGAATGGAGCATTTTGTGAACAAATAACATCAAAAGATTGAAGTACCTCCCAGTATCTCCACAACCCAAAGGTCGGACGGGCTTAAAGTTATTGAGCCCTATTCTTTCGCCATTTGCAGTGATCTGCAAGGTTAAAACTTAAGTAAGAGACAGGGAGAACTAATGCAAAATGCAATGAGAATAAAAAGTAATATGTGTCTAAAAGAAGATGTAAAAATTCAATTTATATACGAAAAGCATAGCTTTTACTGTTAAATACTAGTCTCTCTTCTGTCTTACATGCTTTAGTAGGTCGCGCCACATACTTCATAAAATAGCATAAAAGCAGCAGACACTCTTGTTTCAAGTGTCTTAACACTTACAGGTGTATATAAACATTACTGGGAAGAAAATGTCTCCTACTTGATCTAGCACTCAATACGCATATCATATGAGAGCCATAGTCTTTAATCATAAACAAAGAAATATCAGCTGTTCTCCCAAGGCATAGAAAAACATTAGATTTGATAGGGAGAAAGCAAAAAATTGTGTACCTTCTGTATAGCGGTCCATAAAGCACTATCCCTTCTATGAGGCCGTGGATAGACAGGTTTAGAATGCAAAGCCCACAAGTCTTCAGGTTTCTGAAAGTATTAGAGGGTTCATGTCAGCTGTATTACATTTTCTTAGCTTTTTGTGACAATTGTCTCAATAAAAATCTAAATGCTAAAAAATGGATTTGATTAAACTTTTATTGACCATTCTAAAGGCATGAATATTTTAACATAGCACTATCCATGAAAAGGTAATTATGCATAATAATCATGATTAGACAAAAAATCACATGACAAAGATTATCTGGATCCAATTCGGAGTGAAAGGAATACCTTACCGAGTTGGCATCAGGAAGTTCTCGAACTGCTTCATCTACATTTTCTGCAGTAGCTTTGACCTACAAGAGAAGTTTGTTGGTTACTAACTGAAAAGATCTGTACTTGCAAATTGGAGAAACACAATAATTTGACAAGTTCAAGTTAACCATTTGGATATTCTGGTTTTGGGAGGATGCATTTGCATAACTGAAATTCATCAAGGAAAGAAAAATGAACCAGTCACAAGGCTTGTGTTCTTCTTTCAACACTTGCTATACAAATATTCACTAACTGGGGTCACTTTTCTTATTCACTACCACATTGACTAGAAATAGAATGGCAATCACAATAGAGAAAATAAATAAAGAAAAGAAAGCTAGCCTTCCCAGGTAGAACATATGCTAATAACTAGTTGTGGACCATAATATCACAGGTACAGATTACACAAAGACGAGTGACAGAAATTTACCAACTTAGCACTGCTTTGTTCAGTTTGTTCTGAGAGGCGGTTTCTTAGTGGTTCCAGATGATCACTTCCATCTAACTGAACACCGATGAAATATTGTAGTTCTCCCTGCAAATGTGAAGTGCCGATATCAGCCAAATAGCAGAAAGTTGTCAAATTTTTACAACATGTTTCAGGAAAGTAGACAAAAAGATCACCTTCTGATCACGCATAGGTTGCAAGTGAAATAAATTCCAGAACTTCTTCCCTGAAAATATTTACTCACGTGAAGTAACGTCTAGTTATAGTGTAGTAACGTCTAGTTAATAGAACAAAATGCATGTTCCATTCCATTTCACTTCTCAAAACGCAAAGTGAGATAGTTTACCGCTCTTTGTATAATTAATTAATTGCACAGTAATTTCTCTTTGTTCTCTTATGGCATCTCGTATCTTTTGAACTGTTGCTTGATCTGTTTCAGGTCCCTGAAGAAATCTGAAGAATTGTAAATCTTATTAGATTAAATTTACATGGTGGGAAGCAAATCAGAAAGCAAAACCCATAAAACAACGTATTATCAGATTTCTTTGTTTCTTTGCATAGATAGGCAGTGAACTACTAACTAGTGCAATAAAATAAAAGAAGGGAAGAGATTTCTTGAACTTTTAATTACAGACATCCAACTTTGACAAGACCATACTAATAGGAACTCCAAATATATGTCAATGCGATATATAAAGAAAGATTCAACTCATACCGGCAGTTTCTTCCTAAGATCTCTTCACGTGTGTATTCCGTCAGTTCAAGAAAACTATCTGAAGCAAATATCTGAAAAAACAAGCACTCCTGCTTTCAGTTTCCAGCACAACAGGAATCTAAGATAAATTACCAATTTGACTTAATTATGAAACAGATATACTAATGAACCCTGTTTCAGTACAAAATAATTTGTTCCTTCAGACAATTTAAAGGTTCTTTACGACGAATTTTTTTTCTAATTATGAAATAGATATCATAATATATAGGGGATGAAAAAAACCTAGGTCCATTTGCAGCAAATGATGGCCTATGTAAACTTTCAAATGATTACACTAGGTTTTCTTGATTGCCCACATAATCATCTATATTTGTTCTCTTCACTATCGCAATGTTACTGCCAGTCAATTCAGATGTGGTAGCTGAGAAGGCCTGGCTCAAGTGGCAAAACCTGAGGCCTTGTAACCAAGCACCGAAGCTGATGAGAGTATGTCAAATGTACTGTAGTAGTATGTCTCACATTTACATTTGCTTTAAATTGTTAGTTTGGCTACCATTATCCTAATACCTCCTCAGCTAATGAGTATTGTTTCTCTTTATATACCCTCATTGATATTCTTCAAAAAAGTGAAATATGATGTGTAACAATCAAGTAGCACACACTAGATTTTTTCTTGATCTTACAATTGGACAATCAGGAAGTCTGGGATCTGAAATCACGAAATTCTTTTCAATCCTCTCCAAAGTTGTCGCAAGGTCGATTCCTTGACGTATGTCCCTTTCTCTTTCAGCACGCTCCCAACTGTCAGTACGTGCAACGTCTTTCGTCATTAGTATTTCAGGTCCAATATCCTGTTCATTTTCTAGCGGCGCAGAGATGCTAGAGGACCTTCCTTTAAACCTGCACAAAGTAATACCATGTTCTAAAAGACTGAATGCTAGAAGCAGGTATAAAGCTTAATGCTGCTAAAAAGTGTTTATCTAACAAAACCCTGCTTATATTTCCAAAGCACATACACGTTGTTAAACGAAAAATTAGACATGGAAAAGAGGTACATACTGAAGGTACACATTTAATAAACTATCAACTAAATATAGTATCCTGAGTTGTGATTTTATCTAGTTAACCACACAGTTCATCTGAAAATACTTCGAAATTGCTTTCTACACAGAAATGAAAGAAAATTCTTCTGCAGTTTTTGTAATTGGTATTCTCAGATATCTTCATTGGGATTCTCTTCTGCAACTAATGGGAAAGAACATTAAATGAACACAAATACATTGAGTGTGCGCTGTCTACTTCCCTCAAGAACTAAGAAACCGAGAAGACAATGGTTTCTCTTGTTTGGTATATTTTACATATCAAGTCTTGGACCACTATGGAATCAATCAAATTAGTTCACACAACAAAAACAAAAAAATTAAGCTGACTTAACTTCAGAGTTGAGTTTAGTTAATAGTACGAGGAGTAAACCCTACAACCATTGAGAGGAGACAAACTTTCAGCCATTCTGTACAAAAGAATGAGAAGCTGGTAACTATCTCTGACATAGTTGGAGAAAAAATCACGCAAGCTGTTAAGTACATTCCATTCTTACAACATCCAGTTTCATTAATAAACATTAGAACATGCTGACAATTGAACAAAACATCCAGCACAAGTTCTAGTAAACCAGAGCTAGTACAGCAGTGTTTATATGAAATTTGATTTTAAAACATAGTAGAGTGAAAAAGTGAAAGTCAAAGGACTCACCCCTTTAAGGAAACACGTGCAGATTTTCTAGACTTTTTATCTGAGTCCTGAACAGACATATCACTCGTCGTTTCCCACTGAGGTGTATATTGGCCAGGTGTTTTCATGCTTTCAGTTTCAGCAGACTTAGGAAGCATAAAATCTAATTGTAGCTTCTCTTTATCAGTTCTGGAACTAGCATCCTGACTCGTGGACTTCATATGAGAGCGTGGATTTTTCACGGTTTGCACCACTTCTGTAATGGAACCTAAAGCCTCTTCCTTCTGACGAGCTAAGAAATGAACAAGATATTTTAAGGAGCAAAGTCAAACATTTACGCATACAGAAGCAAAGTCAAACACTTGTGCATACCATCATATCTGATTAAAGACTTGGGCAATCCATTTGGTCGTAATGCTTTCTCATTGATCCCTTCAGTGTATTTGCTCACTTCCACCTGCATTCTGTCACACGGGAATTATCTTCATCAGATGAAAATGCTTTACATTACAATAGGGAAACAAAATGTGGGACCACAAAAGCATCTTTACCCTATAAACTTGATTGTCTTTCCGGTGTCATCTTTTATGGGGGTGACGGTTAGCAGGTTCCAAAAAGGAGTGCCATTTTTCTTGTAGTTCAAGAGCCTTTCAAGAGCCTTCCGCAGTAGCTTTTCCCTGTTTTCACAGCTTCTCGGATTTTATCTACTTCTTTCTGGTCTGTATCTTTCCCCTGTAGGAACCGACTGCATCAAACAAGTCAAGGTCACCTTCTACTCCTTTTCCATCATCCATATGATCAAAGAAGTACAAATCAGGGAATACTGCTGAAAGTAAAGCCTAAACTGAAGAATATCTTAATAAAGAACAAAGAATCAACAAGAAACTAATGGCTTGGCAACATTGTTCCGTTGCATCACTTGAAAATGCTGGTTCAAGCTACAAGGACAAATTAGCCACAGTAATTCTTCTCTTAGCAAAAGGCTCCCATTCAAAGTTTGAACCAGATATCTAGCTACTTCCTATATTAAATGACAGGAGATATGAATTACTCATCAGAATAAGGACGAAGTGTATGATTTTTCCAGTGACGGCCTGCAATTTCACCAGTTCAAAATTTCTTACTTACTGATCAAAGAGGTCCAGACACAAACTTTTACTCACAATTTCACTCTCATCCCTCCTAAAGCTACATAAGGATTGAACAAAATGTAAGGACTATATTTGAGTCTTATCACTACAGTAAGCATTAGGTTAAGCGGAAAAACTGTTACCAATTCCTTCCAATAATCTCCTTCGAAGAATAACCAGTCATAGTAAAGAAGCCACTGCTTGCATAAACAATAGGGCAGTCTGGTTTTGTGGCATCAGATACGACAAATGTCTGTTGAAGTGTTGCTAATGCATCCTTCAGCTCCTGAGAAACTCTAGGAAGTTTAGTGTCTTCACATGACTCCTCGGATGTCCTTGTTGATCCGACTGAATACTTCTCCAATGAATTCTTGCCTCTTTCCCCATCTGCAAATGAATTCTCTCCGCTTCTGCTAATTGCGTGAAAGCTACCGTCTCCAACATCCGTCCTCACTGTCAATCCCCACTCTGCAGCCCTTGCTACTATGCTAGTTTCACTAGGGATCTGACTATTTGCATCGCCATTATTTTCTCCTTTCTTTCCATTAGGGTCAAAGGCCATCCACTTGTTCATTGGCTTATTTGTTCCTGGCATATTCCCAGATTCCACCCCTTTCACTGAAATTTCTTGCACATCAATACCCTCATTTCTACTACTAGCCGACTTTCCACCTTCACGAGTCAATATCGGGTCAAAGACATCAAGTGATCTCCTTTGGTTATAACCAGAACTTGATGAGTCCATTTCTGCTCCTCAAACCACACAACCTACTTAACATCAAAACAACCAAAAGTTTTTTAACTAAATCATTAACCTCTAGCTAGTAGACATCAATCAGCAAGTAGAGACTAACTAAAAGACTTAACACACAGAACCACAATAAAACTGAAATATCATCACTAACAAGTCAAAATACAAAAGCATCACTAAACAAAAAGTCACATAGCACATTGAACATGCAAATGCCTCTTTTCCTTCAACTGCAAAAATAGTGATCACTACAACAACAACAACAACATACCCAGTATTATCCCACACCGTGGGTCTGGGGAGGGTAGTGTGTAGGCAGACCTTACCCCTACCTTGTGAGTATAGAGAGGCTGTTTCCAATAGACCCTCGGCACACGAAAGCATGAGCACCACATTAATGAAAAATAGTGATCATTGACCCGAAAAAAATAAAATGAACCTATCAGTTTATACAATGTAATTCAAGTACACATATCAAAAAAGAAACAACATAATTCCTCAACTTAATACAAGGAACCAACTAAGTATAAATGCTTAAATAAACAAAAAATAGGCCCAATTTAGGAAAATTCAGGGGAAAGGGTGTTCAATAAAGATTGAAAAGAACCTGAATAAACAAAGTCTCAGAAGGCAATACAATCAAAAGGGTATTAAATTAAGAGAGAAAAGAACCTGAATTGGGATGAAGATTATATGAAGAGAGGGTACATTTTACAAATTCATACTTGGTTTAATGAGGTTCCAAGTCTGAGCTAGTGTGTCAAGTTTTTGTATTGCGACAGGGAAGCAAGTAAGAACCAGAAATAGTAGATGTTGGGAAGATAACGTTCACAGAATTATAAAGCATGTTGCAAAATTGTGGCCGCTATTTGTAGTAGTAGCAATTTACTGAAAATGAACAACTCTTGACTTTTGTGAGATACTCCTCGTTTATAACCACTTCTGGCGCTCTCTGCTATATCCAGTCGAACAGTAGTTAGTTAAAATTCAAAGACAAAGTTGCCACTCCCTTAGGGTCGAGAAACAAGTTTGCTTGCAACAAATTATTTGAGATACAAAAATAAATTGCAACCACAATATAAATATGAAACATAATTTTATCCATAAACGATGCAAGTACAATTCTGTTTATCTCTTGATTCTTCCCTCCGATTTATTATCCGTAATTCAAGCTTTCTGGTAGCTTTGAGAAAGACAATATTTGATGTGATCTCTTGATATGCCAGGTTCGAGATTAGTTATTCCCAGATTGTTATCCCACGCTTTCATAGGGATAAAAGTAACACTATAATCCCGGAAAAATTAATACGGAATTAGTTATACCGCGATTTTATCCCAACCAAATATAAAAAAAATTATCTTAAATTTAGTCCCGTAAAATTATCCTTTATCCTTGTACCAGAGCAGCCCTTAAACTATATTACCAGTTAGACTAGTTTTGTTTGTACCTATTGGATAAAAATAAGGTAATTAATTAAGCACGCCTAATATTTACACTAAGCAAGCTATAATTCAAGTGCAATACATATTTTTACTAAATATGTTAAAGTGATATATATATATATATGTGAAAATCATACATCTTTTATTCATTATTTGGTGTAACTGTCACGTGCGAAATTTTTTTTATTGACAAGTAATGGCATGCATGCCACTGAATTAATTTAGGCGTCACTTTTTATTTAATTACAAGTTTTGTTGCCAATAAAGCCCTTTATGTGTAGGACGTGAATAACTATGCGAGCATCTTGTGTGACGCAGATGAAGCCATTTCACTTTTTTCAGTAACACTTCTTTTTCTTCTTAATTTTGTTGCTAACACACCCATAGTAGGAAGAAAATATAACATACTAAAAAGATCTCCCATTGTAAATCGGTTCCTAATGTTTACTCACTAAGGTTGGGAGGGGTGGCTATTTTCAGAACACTGAGAGAGTATAGACGAGAGGTAGAAACTTATTCTTAACATATTAGAGATGAAAAAATATAGCACGTAGTAAATAATTATGGCCAAGTAAGAGAAGTTTATACCAAAAGAAGACAAAAGCACGAAGTTATTTTTTTTCATTTGTCTAGGCTGCTTTGGAAGGAAGTCTCGGCATAACTAGTAAAGTTGTTGCCATGTGACCAAGAGGTCACGCCGTCACGGGTTCGAGCCGTGGAAACAGCCTCTTGCAGAAATACAGGGTAAGGCTGCGTACGATAAACCCTTGTGGTCTGGCCCTTTTCCGTACCCCGCGCATATCGGGAGCTTAGTGCACCGGCTGCCCTTTGTCTAGGCTGCTTCGGTGGATAGAATTATTCGATACCTATGCTGGTAGGGGTAGCAGGTACCTGATGGAATTAGTTGTAGTGCGTGTAAGTTGGTCCAAACACTACTGTATACAGTAAAACCATGTGTCCCCGATTTTGTGGGCTCGAGGGTTCATATCGAGGAACAGGGGGCTCGCATTGAGGAATAGACTCAGTATGGACCGGGTTCGAGTTCGAGGACAGAACACAAGGCTCGAAGATCGAAATGCACAATGATTACCGAAGCCGAGTATGACCAACCCCGAGATGGTGCCGTTATGGGTTTGTAGCAGAAAGAGCAAGATTCTCGCCACGTCCCCATGATCATGGCATAAATTCCGGAATAGGTTCGTACGAGTTAGTATGAATCCGTACTAGGCGGTTATATAGCTGTCCCAATAAGAATATTTACTGTAAATAGAAATGTACCTTATTTAGGGTTCCCCTATTATATAAAGGGGACCTCAATCATTTGTAACCATCATCAATCATTGACAAAAGAATATACTCTCTTACTTTCTTGCTCATTGCTCACCAGAATTGTCCTTTAACTTTATAGTTCTTACTTTATTGTTCTTGACCTACCTCGATGCCACCTTAGCTCGAGGTTGAGACTAGCTTGCACACTGGTTTGATTTTACTTACTTCTTTCATTTATACGTTTGATTTCTTGGTTATTAGTTAGTATTGAACTAATCACATATCTTTAAAACCATAAACAAGTCTAATTGTTACTCGTATTTTCGAGGAACAATAATAGTGGTTGACTGATTCTGATAACACACGTTATTTTCACACTTGTTCTTGTCAAGAATTTTTGTTCTCAGGTTAAAACATGTCAAACTCACAAAACACACCCATACACGGCGATGATGGTCTTGGATTTCATGGGGAAAACAACAATGTAGGGGTCGGTGTACCACTGATTAACCCTGAGGAAGTTCCAAATGTGGAACCAGTCGATGTTAGTTCACACATTGCTTTGAATGCAGATTTATGGCCGGGACATCTGGTGGCCAAGGAACACAGGGTATAGGATATGGGGGAGTCAGCCTCCAAGTAATATTCGAGATGCTACAAGCTCAACAGGTTGCTATCGCTCAGCTTCAAAGTCAGCACAAAACTCCAAGTATAGTCGAACCAGAAAACACTCGGCGTACTAAGCCGGTGCCAGAAAGATCAAACGGTAATGGCTCAGAGAGGGAAAGATTGAGGATAATAATGCAACATACAAAAGCCATTCCCTTCGAGTGCGGCTCCGAAGCCCATTCCTAAAAAGTTTTGCATGCCCGATATACCCAAATACAACAGGACAACCGATCCTAATGAACATATTACCTCATACACTTGCGGGATTAAAGGAAACGACTAAAATGATGATGAGATCGAGTCAGTATTGTTGAAAAAATTTGGGAAAACTTTGTCAAAGGGAGACATGATTTGGTATCATTACTTGCCACCGAACTCTATCGGTTAGAATTACCACCGGTCTCGGATGATTGGGCAGATAAGCTTTTATGCATGATTGCGTTCATGAAGCAAAATGTCTTGGGCAGATGTACATAATCGTTATCAGTCGAAGATCAAGGTCGAGGACGACTAGCTAGGAGCCCCCTCAGGCTCAGTTCATCCAAATAGATTGGCGGTTAAGGCCCTGAGGGATATAGACAGGGAACCGAGATCAAATAAGGAACGATATCAGCCATATGTCTCGGGAGTAAGCATGGTTTTGATAAACATACCGACCACGCGGAAGCACCTCGGTTGTTGGAGTATAATTTCAATGTAGATGCATCGAGGATCGTGTTAGCTATTGGAAGAATCAAAGACACTAGGTGGCCCAGGCCTATACAAACTGATCCTTCTCAAAGGAATCCAAACTCATGTGTAAATATCATGGCACACATGGCCATAGGACCGAAGACTGCAGGCAGCTGGGGGAGGAAGTAGCTCGATTGTTCAACGAGGGTCATCTTCGAGAGTTTCTCAGTGATCGAGCTAAGAACCACTTCAGGGAAAGAGAAGAAAACAGAAAAAATGAGCAGGAAGAACTGCAACATGTAATTCATATGATCGTCGGCGGTGTCGAGCACCAAGGTGTCGATCACCAGAGAAAAATGGACTTGGGGCTATGTGCCCGAGGGCGTCCTATCATTCAATGACGAGGAAGCGGAAGGAATATCTCAACCGCACAATGATGCCCTAGTAATTTCTAAAATTCAAGTTAAATGTGTTCTAGTGGATCCAGGTAGCTCAGCAAACATAATCAGATCGAGGGTCGTAGAGCAGCTCAGCCTACGGGACCAAATTGTGGGGACTAGGGGTGTTCAAACTCGAACCAAAATCGAAAACCGAACCGAAACTGAATCTTAATGCAATTAAGGCAGAAAGCAGATACAATATATTGGTTTGGTCTACCTCTCCGTGAAGAGGTTCAGAGCCTTACAATGGTGTTTTCCCTTCCCATAAGATGGGTATATTTTTCTTTTCTCTCTCTCTCTTGTGAATAGTGGTGAAGAAGCAGCCCCCTTTCTAGGGCTTCCGTCGGATGAGGCCCTCGTAGATTAAATCGGACAAGAGTCGAATCCTGTTACGACTAAGTGGCCATACCACTTATTAATTATGGATTTTAGCTCAAGACGAGATTAACTCCGTTAATTACCGTGAGATCGGTCTGCTCATCGTCTCGAATAAGGGGGTCGACTTATTGACGGCGGTGGCCTTAGCCGTTTACGCGTTGGAGATGGCCGTAGCCTTTCATATATTGGGGATGGCCGTAGCCTTTCATATATTAGAGAGCCTTTCATACATTAGAGATGGTCGTAGCCTTTCATATAATGGGGATGGCCGTGGGGAATGAGTATGCGCCGGGTGCGTACTTGGTCACGTCCAGAATTTTGAAGGCATACGGCACATTCTTTCAACGTTCACAGGCCGTTGCGATTATTCTGACGGCGGGACGTTGGCGGATGGCTGAGAAGCCGCTTTGCGGAGCTTGTCATAATGACGCGTCATTCATCTTCTCCTTTTTGCTCCGGCATGGGAGGTGCAGAACAGATAGAGACCAGAGAAGTTCAGTCAGTTGACGAGGTAGTTCCTCGGCCCGGAGGTGGCGATTGATTTCACTTCACGGGAGCAGGGGGTCATTCCCGCTAGCGAGGAGAGGGCCACACCGACCGCATTACTATCCTTTCAGGTTGGGTTCAAGATCCCGCTCCCAATGCTGGTGGTGGATTTCTGCCGTTATTACGGGGTGTGCCCGGGTCAGCTCACCCCTTCCCTCTACAAATTGTTGGCAATGTTCATCAAGTACGCGGAATTGGCCCGTAGGGAGGTCACGCTGTAGCATGTGCTTAGTCTCTACGCTCCCCAGAGAGTCCGTGGCACCATGATTCAGGCGTGCCCTCGTGGGTCGAGAGGCCTGGTCATGAGATTGGATGACGAGGTCGACCCTCGCCCTTTCGAGCACTTCTTTTATATCAGGACCAGGCATCTGGTGGCGGATGCTACTGGTTCCC